TTGCTCGATGGCAGCCAGACAGTTTCAGATAAGACCTATAATAAGCTGTACTGGGGGTCCAACCGATAGAATATCTTGGTTTTTGAATAAGATTGTTGGGCAATTACTGGACAAAATACCTTCCCATTTTGCCAACACTAAACAATTCCTCGACCGCTTAAAGTCGTGTAAATTTGAAAATGGATGTATAGCTGAATCATTTGATGTAGTATCTCTGTATACTAACGTCCAAAATGAAGACGCTTTACAAGCGGTATCCGAAATGATGGATGAATTTAGTGCGAGCATTCAAACCTTTGGATTGAGCAAGCATCACATCATGGTCCTGATCCGAGAATGTTTGAATTATAATATCTTTAGATGGTCAGGCATCTACTTTGCTCAAGTAAGAGGACTTGCAATGGGACAACGGCTTGCTCCAGTTCTTGCAATATGTTTCATGAGCAGGATCGAACAACCCGTGCTGTCAAGACTTCCACTTATGTACTGTCGCTACATAGACGACTGCTGTATTGTAACATCCACTCAGTCCGAAATGGACGAGTGTTTCCGATTGCTCAATCAGCAGTCGCAGTACATAAGATTCACGCGCGAACAGCCGGTTGATGGTTGGCTTCCGTACTTGAACGTTCAAATCAAACTATCTGGCTGCAACACAAATGTTAAATGGTATCGTAAGAATAGCTCCAAAAACATCTTATTACGTGCTCGTTCGGCACATCCATCAGCCGTCAAGAATGCCGTTATTCGAAATATGTTTAAAACAGTAGCACAAGTGTGTACGGGAGAACAAGAGCAGAAAGAGTCGCGAAATGTTGCACTGAACATCGCGAGGAACAATGGCTATCTGATGCATCATGCTCGTGTAGACCATATTCCTCACATAATACCGCTCAATATAACAACAAAATGGCGCTCTGTCTTCCTTTTGTCTCGGATGAAATCTGTGTTGCAATTCGGCAAAGTATTAAACGAGCACAGCTAAGCGACGATATCATTTTAGTAAATGTTCCGAGCGATAATTTAAAGAAACGGCTTGTACGAAACAGGCTCTATGACAAATATTGTATCTCGAAAGAGTGCGTTATTTGTCCATATAGCAGCATTGGTGACTGCGCGAAGACGGGAGTAATATATCAGATAGATTGTTTAGTTTGTGGAGCTAGCTATTAGGTCGTGTAATAAGTTCTGTCCCATTTTTGTTTTAGGTTTTTCTTGACGACATTGACTATAGCTGAGATAAGTGTATAAGCTTTTGAAAGCTCTAAGTTTGCTCTGCAGGCTCATATGTATCATTTCCCAACATAACAGGAAACTAAAAAAGATATTTATCATTGAAACAAAAAATACAAAGAGCCGAAAAATCAATTTTCGACATCTTTTTTCCTCCAAATTTCTCTCGATTTTTGCTGGTAAAACTTATTGAACAAGCTTGAGAACAACCAAAAACAATCTATTAAACTTTTACACTTATCCTATCACTGTTTGCGCATGTTCTGTTCCTTCCACCTGCTATTTAATGACATTTTTTAGAAGTCGGCAAGGCAAGACTTCGTCACGGCGATATTCGCCGTCTCGCGTACCCAATATACTTGGGTCCGAATCGAATAGAAATTCGATCATTCGAATAAAACATTCGAATATATTCGATTCGAAAATTCGATATTCGGAGTTTTTCCATTTTCGAATAATATTCGAAACTCGAATAATTGAGTAGACGGGGTTTCAAATAAAATTCGAAACTCGAATAATCAAAAAACAGGATTTCGAATAAAATTCGAAAACTCGAATAATCAAAAAACGAGGATTCGAATAATATTCGAAAACTCGAATAATCGAAAAACGGGTTTTCGAATAGATTTTATTCGAATGTTTTATTCGAATGTTTATTCGAATTCGTATTCGAATGAACTCCGTATCCAAATTATTCGAGTTTGTTACAGAGCCAATCTTTGAGTACCAAGCTCGCTTCGTTTTCGTTTTTTTTACAAGACCAGGTAATGCATCTTTTTTGCAACCGTAACGACCTTTGAACTGTATGGAAAGTCGCATTCTTCCGACTGCTTGCGACATAAAAAAACATAAATGTGGATTTTAATTGATGCTTTTTCGATCAGTAAGTTACAGATGTCTTCAGATGTAACGCCAGCTCACCACAGATGTATAGCGTGTGCCAGCCTCATTTTTAAATTTCAGCTCCAGCCAATTTCATTTGCTGCTACTCTGCTAAACTGCCCTTGAATTTTAGTGGACGCCTGACAAGTGAGGTCTGCTGTCGAACAAAGCGGCAGGATCAAGGTGCACAAATGCGGTTACCCTACGGTGCATAACGCACAAGGATCACGAAGATGCACTGCATGTTACTACTGAATACCTATAGATCAGTGGAAATCGCTGATGATTATTTTTTGTACTAATTTTTAATCTATTCTCGAAAACAACTGTACTGATTTCCCATGAAATCCCATTTGTTCATTTGAAAGAATCCAGACAGCTGGCTACTAACCTTAATTTTGCTATGAATTGGGTTATTGAATATTGAATTGGAAACTTTGGGCTACGGAGCTGGGAGTTGGTACAGGGGGGTAAGTGAGGGTGCTGATTATGAATAAAATTTTTGTTTATCGATTTTATCGATTTTTGGGAAACTTTGAGCTACGGAGCTGGGAGTTGGTACAGGGGGGTAAGTGAGGGTGCTGATTATGAATAAAATTTTTGTTTATCGATTTTATCGATTTTTGGGAAACTTTGAGCTACGGAGCTGGGAGTTGGTACAGGGGGGTAAGTGAGGGTGCTGATAATGAATAAAATTTTTGTTAATCGATTTTATCGATTTTTGGGGAACTTTGAGCTACGGGGCTGGGAGTTGGCACAGGGGGGTAAGTGAGGGTGCTGATTATGAATAAAATTTTTGTTTATCGATTTTATCGATTTTTGAAAAAGCTTGAGCTAGGAGTTGGTGTAGGGGATATGAGGGTGCTGATTATGAATGAATCGGTTCTAGCCAGAAATGTCAGCAAGTTTTAGATATGTTGCAGTAATTATTCGAAAAATCATTCGAATATCTATTCGAAATTCGACTCCCAATGTTCGAATATATTCGATATTCATTCATTCGATATTTTTGATTTTCCGAATTTATTCGAAATTCATTCATTCGAGTTTTTTTCATTTCCGAATTTATTCGAAATTCATTCATTCGGGTTTTTTTCATTTTCGAATTTATTCGATATTCGTTTATTCGAAAATTTTCATTTTCGAATTTATTCGATATTCATTCATTCGATGAAAAATTTTCGAATTACCCAAGTATAGTACCCAAGCGTGTGGTGGCTCCAAACTCGAATTTTGAGTATTTATCCTACGAATTCGATAACTTTGAAGCCACAAACCATCCCTTTTGTGTTTTCTGGATGATCCGCCTACCGTCTTCCCTCAGGATGCCTTCAGATAATGCCCAACAACACCAACGTTGAAAAAGCGTTACAAAGAAGAATTTTCTACAGTCTACAGAAGTGATTTTTGAAAAGTTTCAGCACTCCTAAAGCGCAGTAGAAGCTAGAGCATTCTTTGCTTACTTGTAGCAAATTCTTCGACCTTATTCGTAGGCATTATGACTAATTAGGAAGGCGACGGAACGTAGTTGTCGAAAATGGACTTCTTCCCTATTTGATTTTCCAAATTTGGCGCTGTAAAACTTCTTCAAGTCATCTGATGTAAAAAACCGAAATGAAAGTTTCGGTAGAGAAGGCCTAGAGCTTTCAAATGCATATAAACAATTTGCAGAATATCGCGCAAAATATTGAGAAAAAATCGGAAGAAAAAATGGGACAGAACTTATTGCACAACCTAATATATAGGAGAAACCGGAAGAGCACTTGTCGTGAGAGTTAGAGAACATCTCGCCAATAAACGAAAGGGTAATCTAGCCTCGCCTCTCGGGAAACATAGACATGAGTACCATTGCGGCGAAGACTACGAAATTAAGTGTACAATATTGGCTTATGAAGAAGATACCTCTGCTCGGAAAGCTCTCGAAGCATTTTGGATCACGCGCAGAAAACCGGTTATGAACAACAGAAACGAGTGCTTAGCCGTTACGAATGACCTCATGCCGTTTTTGTCACTCTGTGAGCTATGATAGAGTAGTGCGATGATTACATTTACAATGAGCTGCTCAATGTGGCTTATTGGCACTACTGTCATCAAGGAAGCGGTCGCACATACCATCAAGTGCACCGGCGGTGAAGCAATGGTGCGTTCGTCTTTCCCATTTTGCGAATTTTGCTTGTAAAACTCGAGGGGGGATCGAGAAACTATCCAAGGGTCGATGAAGCACTTGGTGGGGCAGACATAATATCGCTAATCCCGCACCGCTTTAGGCCTCTGAAGACGACGAGTAGTCGAAACGTTAGGCCACTGATGTAATAAAAAGCTTCACCAAAACCTCGAGTTGGCAAAACAATACTGACATCACAATCTCAAGTATGCCGAGGTTTCAGCAAGAGAGGACGAAAAACTTACTGCTCTACATACTGTCAAAGTTTGAGTGCGTCTTATCCGAAGAGAGTTGAGTTATGAAGGTAGTTGCAAAACTTAGTTTCCAGCCTAATAATTGAAGATTGGACTGGTTTACGCCAAACAGGGCAGCTCGCTGCCTAGACAAACGCTTCGCGCTATGAGCTGCCAAGGTGCAGGCATACACTTACCCTCCGTCTCATTGAGAGTGATCTAACGGCTCAATTCCCGCGCGACTGCCTGGTCCGGACTCTGCACCCTTTTTATGAGCGTGCTCTCTAATTATGTCTCATGCTTGATTAGAAAAGCTCAGCCTTTTTCACGCTCCACGCTCAACTTGAAAGAATGATCAGGGACCAGGTTCACGAAAGAGGGCGGAGCCCAAGCGAGGCTGTCACACGGAACTCAAGCAGCACGAGCCCTACGATAAGCTTTCATTTGGATTTGATCAATCTTTATAAACGGATAATGCTTATTGCCAGATTTGGATGGTAATTTCATGGGAACCTCAATTTTTTCTGGGACGTCCTATGTTTGGGACCAGAAAAGGCCACGAACATATGCGACTTCTTCTTCTAGAGAAGGAAACTGGAAAAACTATGATGAACGAGGTATATAATATTCTCTTGATAGTGAAGTGGAACATCAAGTTGATTAATGCTAATCGTTTAGTTTTCACATATCGCAACCACAAGTGGACCAGCCGAAAAGTTTTTCACTCAAAAACTCAATCACTTTGATGCTACCAACAATGCAACATGGCAACAGGTAACTTTTGCTAGAGTTTTAAGTTCTAATTATTCTGTGCAACTCTAGCGTTATTTCTACAATGCTCAATATTATTCCGGTTCAAACGTGGCCTTTCTTATGATAGGAGGAGAAGGCCCTGAAAGCATAGATTGGGTAAGTTGATTTATGAGTAACGAACACAAGTGCCTTGATATACCGTTAAACTACGAAATACCTTCAAACTACAGTTCTGGACGCGCAATGAAATAAAATAAAGGTTCTATGTTGAAAGGCACTAATTAGTCGAGTTTGGCAAAGGAAGCAGAGTTTTTTGTATCACTTTGCATTCTGCAATCTTACGCCCGTCAGGTAACCAACAAGAATTACCCATTTGTCAAATGGGCTGAGCAGTTCGGCGCTATGATGTTCTCACTTGAGCATCGATTCTATGGAAAAAGTCGTCCGACTCCGTTAGTTGAATCACTCAAATTTGTTTGCATGTTACTCTGTTTATTGTTTCAGTGACCAATCGGTAGAAAATCTGCATTATCTGAGCAGCAGACAAGCACTAGAGGACATTGCATTCTTTATAAAAGCTATGAACAAAGAGCATCATCTGGAAAATGCGAGTTGGATAACGTTTGGAGGATTTTATTCGGGTAATCGGTGCTTTGAGGCAGAAATAGTTTATTTTCACAAAATTGATCGGATTCTTACTTTCTATCGCTTCACCATGAAAAGGTTCTTGAAATTGTGTAAGTAACTTGTTTTCGCTAGTAAATAATTAGAATATCGTTTCGATTTTACAGAAATTCGAACGTCTAGTAAAAACGCCTCTTTTTTGTTCAAAACGTCCAGATTAAAACCCGTGAACATTTTGAAAAGCATCCCAAAAACCTTCCCAAAAGCGTGGTTAATACCATGCCTTCATGAAAAATTTTTGCCTCCCTCCCTCTTCCTCAAAATTTTCTGGGACCTCCGCATAACATTTTTCATAGCAATAGACTTCCTGATAGCTTATATGAGGCTTTCTGTATATTCAAAGCAATTGATCTTCAAAGGTCCCATTTAAAAAAATATTAGGTCAGTGCAAAAATAATGGCCGTTTTGCCAATTCTCATTTGATGTGCTTTTCCGAATGAAAAATTCACATTTCCGAATGCAGTAATGATCATCAGAAGCAGCAAACCTTCTGCAAACCGCGCACATTTACTTATGCTCATGTCATGAACGGGCAGAAAAATATGGATTGAAAAACAAAAAAGGTTCTTCTCATAGGATCTGTTTTTGACAATTCATAACTTCTTTCAAAGTTTGCTAGTATGAATGATAAGTAGCCTATCTTGCAGCCGCAACATTTTTCAGTGTGCAAAGTACCGAATATAGAGCTTTCTAATTTTCTACTTAATTAATAGCTGGTTGTTTTTGAAAAAACTGCTAATAGGATATCCTAGCCCTACGCTTATATTGAGCAAAGCTTCGACGATTGACTTTTTCTGAAGGATATTATGGGTCATAAAATGACCGCAACAGCTACTCATGTTTGGGCGCCGATATCTCAGTCTGGATAACTTCAAAGAATGCAGTTAAGATTGCATAATGTAGATAACTTCTATTACACACAATAGCTAAATTTTCGAAAAAATACCATTAATACGCGCCTGAATTCTGGCCAGAAAAGTGAATGCAGTAAATTTCTGAATTTAAATGCGGTCATTTGAAGCTCAGTAACTTTTTAACAGATGAAGAAGAAAGTCCATTTTGAGTACCATTGAATAGAGCATGAAAACAGCTTCTCGATGGTACACTACACCTCTGTAAATAAAAAGTATTGATGGAAAAAAGTTGCCCTGTAAAAAAATCTGCCATTATTTTTGCACCGACCTAACAAATGGGGCGCTTCACTTTTATGGCTCGATAGCACAACTTCGTTCCATTTTTGCCATAGTTTACGAATGTAAAATTTTCGTTTTTCGGGAATGACTTACTAAGGAAAGGACTGCAGTCGAAGTGGCGTTTTAAAAAAGACGCATATATTCTTGAAGGGCGTCGAACGTTGATTCCAAACCTGACCTTGTCTGCGGAGCGCTTCTAGACAAGAAGTCATTAGAGTTTTGTGGCGAAATTTCAACACGTGGATAGACGAAAATCGTTCACAGAAGTCTCTTTGAGTCTAAATGGAATATTGGTGACTGTTAACCACATTATGAAGAGAAGATTCTCTTCCTTGCTTCACCTATACTCGGTCCAGTGAATTGAAAGACCCGTTAGCATTATTTTATTCTAGCAAGTATACAGTTTTTTGGCTCATAAAAAAGTCATAACTCCTCACTCAAAGGCGCTCAGATAAAAAAGACAGATTTCAGATTAGAATGCGATGTCCTCTAAGATATTGGCATTTCAATTGGAAAGGCCGCTTCGACTGAAGATCCTCTTCTGTTAAAGGCAGTGGCTCGGCAAATTTCAACCTGGTCAAATTTGCGCTTACCTGGGGTTCTTCAATACGCCGATTCCGAAAATCCACTTTTGAACGCTTGAAAACGGCGAAAATGAACGTTTTTAATGCTCTTCCCTTTGATATTAGACGAGTGGAGCAAGGCCAATGACGCTAAATCGTGACAGGACCCAATGGTTATAGCGTCGCGGCGGGCAGCTTTCAATGGTGAGAAGGAAAATGCCAACGCGTGTAAGTTCGAGAGCGATTTTCTCGGCAGGGAAAGCATGCTGTGCAACCGAGATTGCACCGTTTTCATAGTTGGACGACAAGGAACCTACCGCGTTAAAATCCCGAGTTGTTTAATAATGCCGATCCACTGCCTTTAAAAGGGCTATTCTCGTTGCTTGCGACCTCAAAAATGTTTTGATGTTAGTCAAAAGAATCGTTGCTGTATACGTATACGTCGTGGCTTCATCATACAAGACGAAGCTTTCGACAGTTTTCGAAACTTCTAGAAAGAGTTGGAGAGAGAAGGGAAAAGTCCGTAAAACAATAATCCTTCTTTTACACAATTGTTTTGTTTCAGTACAATTGTGAAAGCTCAATCTAATACAACCATAGTTCTGTTATACATACCATATGTTAATTTTTGTGAAAGTAGAAATAGTAAGTTCCAGGTGCTCTTTCGCTTTGGGCTCGCCAAAAATACCCAGATTTAATTGCTGGTGCTGTAGGCAGTTCTGCTCCAATGAACGCAGTGGTTGACTTTTGGGGTAAGCAACGCGTCCCTCAAGTGCAAGCATTATTCAATATTTGTCATTATTCAATTTGACCCAGGTTATTTGGACGCCGCGGAGAATGCCTTACGTTCATATAGCGAAGACTGCGCGGAAAATGTCAAAAAAGCTTTCGAAACTTTTGAAAATCTCATGCTCACTCGAGAGGGACGCGATAAGCTTGATGATCTTTTTATGTGGGTCATTCTACAATTCACCGCTCAAATAGACCAAATGAAAAAGAGTTTCTTTTAGGTTGAAACCAAATTTCTCAGATAGACATGATACGACCATCGGTTATGATGACACGCAATTCCTCCACATGACGATCTTTGAAAAATTTCAAGAAGCAGTACAATACAGCGGAGTAAATCAGGTTTTCCGCCCAATAATTCTTCTGAAAACAAACACAGAGTTGCTGATGAGACAAGTCTCACATTATACAGACACTTAGGACCAGGATATGAGATGAACTGATGTTCTTATGTAAGCATGAATGTTTAGTAACACCACGGCTTTTTTGCATTTTGTTTTTGTTTCTTACTATAATTTAAGAGTAGTCTTATTAAAGGGGGCAAGCGTTAGGCGACAAAACGTTAAAAAGGAAGCAGCGTGAAGTCCGTAACTCACAACTATGCGCCATGTTTTTGATGGCATCGAGTAAATCGGCCCCAACGCCCCAGCTCCCTGCTTTTTCCGCCGAAGACGTTTTGCACGAGGAGGTTTTTGGGGTACAAGATATTGAGCTTGTCGCCTAAGGCCCTACACCCATAGCATCACAAAAATATATTTAGGAAAGCTTAGTGCTTTTTGATGAGGGGTTTTGTAAATGAAAAAAACAACATTTTGATTTATTTCGATGAACATAGTGCTTCTAGATTCATAAGAGAAATACTCAGCTCTAAAAAACCAACATGGTTAACGATGACATTCGAAGCATTTTTAGGGCAGGTTCGTCGAGGGCTTTGGCATTCCACAAGTCTGTGAGATAATGACTAGCGGCTCTGATCCATTACAGCAACTTCAAGATGTTAATGAATATATGAGTAAGTTTTCAGAATGGTTGGAAGCAAAATGTAATCTTTTATACTTTAGGCTACAATGGTTTCAATCACACTTGTAACGATTACGGCGAAATGATAGATTATCTCTGGAAAGAAGAATTCAGTGATGAGCTTGAGTTTGACTGTAATTTTCCCAAATTTTGCTGTAACTAGTAGCTAGGCATCTATGACAATCCGAAATGAATATAAATGCTTTCTAAATAATAGGTTCTAAAGAAAGTTTCCGGGCACTTGCAAATTTTTTCCAAACTGGTGTAACTTCGAGTAGACCACTTTTTTTTGAGAGTTAAAAATTTTGCTACAATATTGTCCACAAGGTACGCTTATTTTGTTGGGTCCTCAGCACTTCATCTTGGACCACCATCATCTCAGACAATCACAGGCTCTCAGCCGGCGGCGATAAAGGGCAGTTTCACTGAGCGGGCGGCGATACTGCAAAAGTGGCAGTGAGCGGGCGACGACATTGTAGGAATGGCGGTGAGCGGGCAGCGACGGGCTACCAGCGGGCAGCTATAATCTTCCATGAGTCAGAAAATAGCTGCAGAGCGCATTCATTCTTACAAAAGCAGCCAAAAGGCGACGATGAGGCAGCGACTCCGTTAAGCTGGCAGCGACCGTGAAACGATGGGGCTGCGAATACAAGATTTCTGTCAGCGGGCCGCATCAATGCTATGAGCAGGCAGCCTTAACTCATAACGCCGTATTGTGGCTGCCAACTGGATGCCATATCGTTGCCCGCTCGAGACATTGTTGATCGCACCAGAAAAGTTAGATGTGCAGGCAAACGAGATTGGCAGCGTGGGCTCGCGTCATTTTTTTCATTTCTTGTTGCCTAATCTTTGTTTTCATCTTTGCTTTTCTTTGTTTTCATTTTCAGTGCTTCATTTCAAGTACTAGTGAACCAGTACTTATAGGCCCCGGTCAGACTTCACGCGACTTAATCGTCGCGACCAAATCGCCAAGATTTCCATTCATTTTCATTTCACATTCAAAAATTTCGGTCTGGAAAAGTATCACAACCGAATGCAAGTTGATCTGCTTGGAATGATGTTGTAACAGTTGTCTCCTCGCGATTCAGTCGCGACGATCAAATCGCGTGAAGTCTGCCCGGGGCCATAGGCGCTATTTGGAAGAGCGTTTGCTTCGGGACTCGTCGTGGTTCCCAGCAATTTGAAGATTTTTGAATTGAGCTAACGATTCTTTATATATCAGATTTCTTTTGTTCTCTATGTTTGACTGTCTATCCAACCGGAAGAAGTGCTTAATGAAAGCCCCGTTTGTTTTTGAATCAAAACATCCACTGCACAATGTAATAAAAACTCTTTTTCAAACTCTCTCGAAAACCGTAAAAAACCATCTATTCACTCATTTTACGAATGTAAACATAAAAGTGCCTTTCTCTCAACATTTTCGCCGCTGTCACATCATTCGACTACAAGCGTGCTCTCTTTGCGCTCAAAGATCTGCATCATTGCGTTTCGCATGCGTCCATTTTCGAAATGCTTATTGATTAGAGGGCGTCGCTATGCTTTGCTACTTCAATCCTGTGTTTATAATTTTTTCGAGAAAAAACTCTCAGCCTCAGCGGATTACACGCGAAAACATGACCTTTTACGCAACGGACGACCATCACGGCTCACTCCACGCCAGCGTGTTGCACGCAAAGTTCATTGAGTGAGGAAGGATTGATTTGAGGTTTAGTCTGAGTGCCACACACAGCGTAAGTTTTCGTCGCACGTGTTTCTACCGATCGGCCTTTTCAAAAAGTAAAATTCTTATTTCGAAGCCAAGTGCATTCATCGAAACACAGTGCGCACCTTTTCAATGATGTACCGTCGGTTCATTTCATATGATCATGTGTGCCATTGCACACACCGTTTATCTTTGCGTACCCATCCTGGATTCTTGGAGGACGCAATCCTTCCGTTAAGCGATTCTGATGTTTTCTCGCTGTTTTCTTTTCTTTTTAGGTACTATTTATCTCTAAATGATGTAAGCGATAGCAATTGCTCACTCTCTCGCGTTTTTGCGATCGCAAATCCGAGATGGGGACGCCAAAGATGGACGGTGTGTGCGGGTGCACACATGATCATATGAAATGAATCGACTGCACTTGTACAGTGAGCACATAAAAGGTTTACAGTTTTACGGAAAATTGTTTGGCACGCAGTCGTTCGTCAACGCAGCTATCGTCGATTCGTTGACCGTACGGGCTGCTGAGGCGCTGCGGACCACATGCGGCGTGGTTAACATGTTGCGAGAGCACGAACAATGGCGATCTTGTATTGGAGCAAGCGTTTTACCTCGCGGCGCGTGCTCCGCGGTTATGTCCAGTCCGCGCAGTCAACGAATCGACGATAGTTATTTACAGCTGTGATGGAACTAGTTTCTGTCTCTTTTTATCGTCAAGGCTTGATAAAGTCTCCCTACCTCCTAGAAATGAAATTAGGGCTTTTCATACTTCCACTAATTGCTGTACCATATTTGTCTTGCGTTCTCTCTGTCTAATGTCTGTCTTTGATGTATATCTATATATTTCCAACTACTCTCTCTTTTGCAGGCATTTCATGATGTTTGTAATCGTAGTCAATTACAGCTTCTCTTAGACGCTGCAGTCACCGACGAAGACGCACACAATTCCAGAGGAAGTGTTGCACAACATAAGGAAAATGGGTTTGGATCAGAACTGACAGTTGCCTGAACGATACTCAGGCGCGAATGGATTGTTGATTCGCATGAGAAACCCCTGCATTGCGCACACTGGCAGTTCCTCACTCATGTTTGTGAATATATTTATCGCGGTGGAATGTGTATTGCTTTGTCGCCGCTCCCCATATGGATTCGTTTTATCAATGTTTGTACCCTCAAGGTCTATTATCAGCATATTTTCTGTTCTAAAGAATGTAAATCTATGCGTGTGTATCACTGCGTACTTGCGTACTCATCCACTTAACTGTTACTTGCCATTTCATTAGTTATAACCTTTATCCAGAGTTTACAAACGTGGCCGTACATAGTCGTAGTATACGATCTAAGCTAACCTCTAAGCTTTTGGGCTACGGACACTTCCTATCTTTTAGGAAAGCGGGAAGCGGCAGTGAGGCGATAAGGCAAGGAGCTTTTGGTGGGTTTTCGCGGTGGCTTTGTGGCTGCCGGCTGAAAATCTTGTCTGTGTAGCTTCTTGTTATGCTTGGACTACAACGTTGTAACTTCAATTAATTCATTATAACGATGGCAAGTAACAATGAAGAACATAACCATCTGGGGCCATATCTATTTCTCCATGTGGTCATATCTCCAGATGGTTATGTTCTTCATTGTTGCTTGTCATCGTTATAATGAATTAATTGAAGTTACAACGTTGTAGTCCAAGCATAACAAGAAGCTACACAGACAAGATTTTCAGCCGGCAGCCACAAAGCCACCGCGAAAACCCACCAAAAGCGCCGTGGCCTTATCGCCTCACTGCCGCTTCCCGCTGAGAACTGTAGAAGCGAGCGGGCTACAAATATGGCAATGAGCGGGAGGCTAAAGCTGGCAGCGGGCGGACTGCTATGAGGGCTTCAGCGGGAAGCGAAAGTGGCCGCGATGAGGCCACCGCGCTTTTGGTGGGTTTTCGCGGTGGCTTTGTGGCCGCCGGCCGAGAGCCTGTGATTGTCTGAGATGCACTGCAGAGAAAAAGGTCGACTCAGAATTCGGCCTGTTTGTGCAGAATTTCCTCAGGCACTAATTGTAAGAAAGATGGAGAGCCATATGTGCTAGTTATGTAGAACTCTTCGGGGGCTGCTTATAGACTGTATCACAATTTTAGAGCACAGCCTAAAAAAATTTTCTCGAAAAAATTGAAAATTCGGCCATTTTTCCACCCTAAAAATGTCCCATTTTTTGCCTTCCACGGAATAAAGAACTTGCTTGCTAAAAATATTGTTGGGGTGATGTCTTGCACATCTTTCGGACCCATCACCGAGGCGTGACGACCCTCACAGTAAAGGAGGCCAGCTGCGAAAACAGGTACGATCGAAGGCAAGTTTGAGAGTTTGTAATTTGCGTACTGTAAAATCCAAACACAGCTGCAGTATTGAAGTCGACAGCCTCCTTATTCAAAGTGACCAACTCTTAAATGGCTTTTGTTTACTGCAAAAAAATGGCAGCAAAGAGAGAATTGTGAAAATTTCATTGTTGCACAGACTTGCATTTTGGTGTGTAGATCAAATGAGGATTGGCATCTATGAAAACTGGATGCGAATCTGAAAAGGCTAGACTCTCTTCTACAAAACCATACGAAATAATTGTCGTTAGATTCAACTGTGTGCAAAAAAATGAGTTTGAAAATGCAATTTCCAAAACTGCCCGGGAATTTTCTTTACGACCTAACAATCTCAAAGTCGAAGAAAATGAAATTTGAGGCAGCATCAGACCAAAAAAGTTCTTAAGCAAACCTCGCAAATTTGTCCTGAACCAAAAAAAAATTTGTGGAATAAGTTTCCAAAACAAGTTGTGAGCTTTGAACGTCCAAATTTGTTACGGTTTACATGGCTTAAAATTGGCGAAAAGCTGTATAAAACCATCGAAACGGAAAGTGGAAAGTCAGTTTTGTGTCAAGCATACAGTTCTCAAGAAAGGAACAAAGCTGATTCAAATGGAGTATTGTTTTAGAGCTTTTCGCTAATTTTAAGCCACTCAGTTCTTGGCACACTTGAACATTCAAAGGCTCATAACTTCTTTCGGAGAGCTGTTTCGCAGAAAAGGAAAGCAGATTTGGAATCAGCCTTCAAAGACTTAATCGCTGACTAAGTTGGTGTCTTCCTTTGTTAGAGGCACCGTCCACTCAAAATGGGGCTGACAAGATTTCGATGTCTAAAAGTACTGGGCTCCTAAATGTGTATTTGCTCAACTCGCGCTGCGAAAAGTTGTTTCCGAAGCGAGAAAATTGCTTCGAAAGTTAGCTTCGGATGACGATTTGCAACGTTGGCTCTACCCCTTTGAGTGCGCGTGACGTTTGTTCCGCCCATCCGTGCGCACCCAAGCAATCGCTGTCCGGAGATCTCCTCTGCGGGTCCTGCGGAGCGGGGACTGTCGGGGTTTTGCGGATTCTCAATTGATATTCGGAATCAGGGACGTGAGAAAGCCGCGGAACGACAAAAGCATGAAAAGAATATGAGTAGACGGTGCTTTTGAAAGCCTGTTCCCACCACTCAGACTGCTAGATAGGGATAAGTAAGCACACTGATGCTTTATTCAACTTCAGTGTACAACGGCACCAGCCCTTTCAGGTTACAAGCACATTTATTTGCAAAACCTAAAATAAAGGATAGTTCTTGGACACGGATTATAAAAAAATTAGTAGATCTAAATAAACAAATTTTCAGCTGGTGCGCGAAGTTGGTTATGGCAGACATGCACCGAATTTGGCTACTATCAGTCCACTGACGGTGGTCCGAAAGGAATTTTCGGTTCTGGCACTCCTTTAACGTAAGTGCCATAAGCGCATCGCAAGCTATAACGTAGTAGATTCTAGACTGTACCTCGATATGTGTTATGATGTATTTGGAGACGTATACAATAGCACATTCATAAAAGCAGCTGTGCACAGGACGCAGATGGAATATGGCGGTTCAGAGAACTATAAAGTGAGATGGTGGCAATACATTGTTGAGCATAACACCTATCCAAATCATTATTTTGATTCATATACCAGCCTATTTGAATACATATGACTTTAAAGTTTTATCAGAAACTTTTTCTAACATGAGCAATTAAACAGCGTCTCACCAGATTGGGGCTACCTGGCTCTGGTGTAGTGTAATGTTATGGTAGACCTCCTAACTAAGCGACGACGGAAGTTTGCAGCGCGAAAGGGGTCTGCGAAGTTTACAAATCGCCCCCGAGTGGTCCGGATCTTACGGTAGGCTCGGGCGAGTACGAGATGCACGCAGGGTAGAGACGCAGAGCGTTGGTTGCGGAACCCTGCCCTCATAACTGTGTGTACTATGCGTGCTCTAGCCTTGCAGTTTGTGCTGTGTGGGCGGCGTCCGGGCCTGCCGTAAGAATCGCGCCACTTCCAGAGCAAATTTCATGCTTGAAGACTCCTTTTTCGCTCGAAACTTCAGTCATGACATAGGTAAGGGATCTACTTTGACATCGCCACAAAACCGGGCACTCATCTTTTCGGGACGCTGCCTTCAAGAAAGCTTGAATGATTATTTCGCGACGCTGCCTTCAAGAAAGCTTGAATGATTATCGCTTTGAGGAGATCACCGTGACAGTTGCAATATCTTAAGAATTCTGACGTTAAGCAAATTTAGGGTACAAATGTTGTGATTCCCAATGGATCTATCGATCCGTGGCATGCTTTGGGCAAGTACTCCTCTAGCGACCCGTCAGTAGTCTGGTACCTAATGAATGGTTAGCATGCCATTCAAAGGGAAAAACTCACTGCTGCAATTTTAGGGACAGCTCATTGTGCAGACATGTATCCGCCATCCGAAAACGATAAGCCCGATCTGAAGACAGTCCGCACCTTGATTGAGAGAAACCTAAAAAAATGGCTGGAAAGTCAAGGAAGAGACCGAAGTAATCGTACGGTGCTTATCTTTTAGACCAACCAACATTGCAATTTTGAATTTATTAAAGCTCAAATACTATCTTGGACGAAACCACAGTCGAGAGCCTTGCTAAAGCCGGAAGAAAGAAAACCGATTGTCAAGAAACGTGATGATGTAAAGGTAAGTGTAAAGGTAGGTCCAATAGTACAACGGTGGTAAAATGTTTTCGACCTAAAAATATGAAATGCTTTGAATGCACATGGTGGTAGAGCGCTGAGTAATCTTTTGCACTTTTGTAAAGAAAATGAATTTTAAAGTGCTCAAGTGAAAATTTGCAAAATCAGTCTGAAGATAGTTTCTTTTTCATTTAATAGAACACAAGCACTCAAAACACACCTCAACACCTTTATAGCTTTCTTTTGCCGTTTTTTTTCTGAGGGCAAAGCTTGAATTGCAAGGAGGGCAAAGCTTGAACTGCATGTTTCTATTATCTAAAGGAGCAGGAATTAAGATGGATTGAATCTTCCGTCATGGGAGCGTTCCACTAGCTGTAAAAAATTCAATTCGATAAGACAAAAGTATTTTTAATGCTCCAAAAATGTGCTTAGTGATTAATCTTGCCAAAAACAATGGTGATCTTTTCAGGACCTGTGCATCTCTTCATAAAGTTATACCACTTTGTAGGCCTAAAGTTCCAAAGATGACTTTGCTTGAATATCTTAATAGATTTCTCTCTGACAATACAATTACTTCTGGCACCTTAAAGGCAAAGTCCGGACAAAATGGGGGGGGGGGGTTGGGATTTCAGTGCCATGCGAAAGTGGCCTCCCTCAGGCACAGCATCCCGCAAGTACGAGGTTATAACGTTCGACTTAAAGCAAGAAAAAGGGAAAGTGGGAAAACTTACGCCTTAGGGAGGGGTCCCCGACCTGTTCGAGTCTCTGCTATGCGGGTACGCATGCCGCCACAGTTAAACTTGTAGGGTCCCGCAGTGACTCTGCGTCCCTGCCCTGGTGGGGACCGTGAAATTTCAAAATTGCGGCTTTATAGAACGTATGTTCTCGCCGTTTTTGCGCCTTCTAATGTGGATTTTCAGATTCAGCGCTGCTGATAACCCAAGATAAGTGGATTTTCTAAAAATCGAATTTGCCCGGACACTTCCTTTAATTTCGAGTTTGCTTTCCGGACGCTTTGCGTGAACACATCCTTTTCATTATGAGTAGACGTCTGATCTGTCTTTGGTAACTCTGGTGACGAAAGAGCTTAGGTCAGACTGAGAGTTAACCTAGACTGGTACCAGCCTTTATTTCTCGGGCTAACGTTTTGGCGCACAACGCGTACTCAGTCACTGGGTGATTATAAGAACATCTCATAGGTTTTGATCCTTTAGAAAAAAACTTGTGCGCCGTAACGTTAGTCCGAGAACTAAATATTGACACCAGTCTTTACTACTGCTTTAATTATTCATCAGAGTTGCATAGGCAGTGCCAAGATCAATAATCAGTCGAGCTCTCACTGCTAATCTGAAACGATTCTCTTCAATATCAGAGATGTGGTTTGAAGGCTGGGTGCGAAATTGCCGCTTGAAGAATTTACACAAAAAATGATGAGCTAGTCAATCCGGACTAGACAGCGAAGTGGTACAAGTCGCTGCTTGTCGCATTTGTAAGATAGTCAACAACTAGAACGGCTAAATACTCCAATGCCAAGTAAGCAATTTTATGAGAACATACCGAAATATCTCTCATTTGGGGAAATTCATTTATTTATTTATAAATTGATTTATTTGATGCATGCAGTGTGCGCCGATACAGAAAGAAGGCAAAAAAATAGATGCGCTAGCGACTTCTAGTATAGACTAATATGTTAGGAAAGAAAAAACGAACAAAAAAGAGTACCTTAATGGATATTATACAAACCAGTAGATCCAAATTATTAGTAAAATTGCAAAAACAACAGAAAATTTAGTCTATAAAATCAATTTCATAAGATTATAGCAAGAACTGGCGCGATGGCAGAGAAGCGCGGAAGTAAGAGTAGAGAGAAGTCGTGTGCAAATAAGAAGAAACAGCGGAAACAGCGCGAGAATTTTCAGCATTCAACGAATCATTCACCTGCATGAGGTCGACACTCCCAAGGTTACGCTTGAAGGAAGATACCCCTTGATTCAACGGGATTAGGGGCTGGAAGGCGGAGCTCCGCGGCCTGAACGGCTAAGGGATGATCAGGAGCATGCTCCCGAAAAAGACGCAGATGGTTCTCCAGCCGCCAATCCCATTGAATCAAAGGTACGCCCTGCGCAGATAGTACATGAGGAGGTATATGCTTTAGCCATCTGAACATAGTATGAAACTTATTGAAAACCTTGAAAAAGTGCTTTCTCTTAATACGAGAGTGTTGCATGTTTGGCATTAATGGAAAACTTTTGCTTTTGCGCATCTAAGAACAAAAAACGAGTTAATGTTTGCTGGACATTTTTCCACTTTGAGATGTTCTTCTTCAATAAAGAGTTCCAAACTATAGAACAATTTTCTAAATGAGGCAACACGTACGACTTGTACCGTTTCATAGTAAGTTTTTCTGAACCGTCGGAGATGTGAATAAAGTTGAATACAGTCAAAGATGTGAAGTTGAACACACTTTGCTCACCACATAATCTATGTAAGAAACTGAGGTGGCCTCGGTTCCGTATTTCCACTAATCTTATAAACGGGACTTCCATAATTACCGAAATGCATCAGGCATTCATACAACTTGGGAGGGATCAACTGCCCAATCCATCATCATTTTCAATGAAGCTTTATTACAGACAAACCTCGTACAACTATCGTTGTAACCTCCCGTAAATCTTGGTATGGAAATGTAGCCCACTGTTGCAAATTATTGGTATCCGATTTATTTCGTGGGAGGAGGGGAATTTTGCAACCTAACGCAGCTATTCACATGTAATAATAATATATAATAATGTTTATAATCATACTATTAAAGCTTGAGAACTCCGTTTCGTTCCTATTCTGAGACGGAGTACTGTGTTGTTTCTATGCCATCCCCGGAACTCTTTAGTAAGGAAGGACGGCGATAGTTAAAATAACTCATCTTTCTGTGTAAAAATGATATTAGGATTCATAATTCAAACATTTCGTTTCAAACATTGATTTTTGATAGTTTTTTTGTTTCAATTAGGTTAATCCCAAATGCTTACGAGGAGAAGATACTTGGTGACCGTGTCCTTCTGCAGTGAGATGTATACTAGTAGGTGCGTCTTGGAACTCTGATTCTAAAGTGTTCATTATCTGCTGTGCGACTCCCTGAGCAAAGTTATGAACTTTTTTTACAGTGATTTTGAGAGATTTAGGCAGTCGAAATCGTCACTCTCCAGGCTTTTTAGACTCTGATGTGTCGGTGACAGTTTTCCTGAGCTTAACATGAAGCTTTACTTCATTTGTACGCTCTTTTCTAGTGCGTAAGCGAACATTCTAACGATATTGGTGGATTCTGCATCAAAAACAGTGCAAATTTTGGTGATAAGAAATGTTCATAACTTCTGTCGGAGGAGCGCACAGCAGATAATGAAAGCAGATTTGGAATCAGCGCTTGAAGATGGAATTAATGGTGTAGTTTTCATTTCAAAAGGCCACGGTCACCAAGTATCCTTTCCTTGTTAGTAAAAAAAGAAAATATTCTTCAATTTTTGGAGTTGGTGGCTTGTCTGGTTCCATTTCATCGTCAAATTATATTTTTCTTGAACTCTTTGTTTCTCCTCATCCACTGTGGACTCCAAGTTTAACTTTTCTTTTTTTTTTCTTGATGCAGGGAAGCTCCATCATGATTTTGGTTCATAAATAAATCTTCCCACACGTGTTCTTGTTGTTCAATGAATCATTCATAATCATTATCAAAGGGATTTCAATTTATCTTCTCAGAGTGAAATTCTATAATATTAATTTTTGACTTTGAAAAAAGTGGGAAAAAGTCGCTGTATAGGGAATCCATATCTCGGTTCTACGTCAAAGTAACCCAAGCTATTAGTGCTAGCACCGTAAAATCAAATCTCGAAATTAAACAAATCAACTCTTAGACTTTTCCTAAATGGAAGCACAACAAAAGAGCGTTCATGGGCAGACCTCCACACGGTTTTGTACCTCCGCCTGATAAGGTTGTTTTCGTTGCTATTTTCAAACTGGTCTTTGTATTAAATTGCATTGAAAATTGCAGGCTAACAATATAGCTTCGTACACTTTGACGTATTTTTCTCAGCCATACGACCATTTCAACCCTGAAACGGACTACTTCTACCAGGTATTGTTTGCAAAGACTATTTTCTTGTCAGAGTATAAGTAAATTTTGCGATTGCATGTCAAGACATACGTAAAAACTGTACATGCCACATTACGAACAGCTTTGACATGCCCAACACTTTTCGTATAAATGCGCGAAGTTTGAAACCAACTTCTCAGTTTGCTCACAAAAAAGAGACTATGAAATGGCACGAAAACTTTTATGTATGCACACAATAGTGAATGGAAACAGGGCACGGCACAGGTGGCTTAGCAAGCAAGCTGGATATCGTTTTTGGGGAAAAAACAAAGGGGATATCGTTTTTGCGGAAGAGCATAACGTTGTCTTTCGACCTACGGCCGGCACGCTGCCGGCATGTCGCTAGCAAATAAACAAAAGGTTTGTTTACAGCGAAGTGAGGATGAAATGACACCAAAATAGGTGTGTAGATGGACAATGGGGAGTTAGAACTAAGTATGAAAAATTATGAAAAAATTATGTGAACTAAAGGCGTGCTCAACTTTTTTCGGAGTTAGGTGGCTTTCAAGCCACCTGGATAGCCACCTGAGGTGGCTTAGGAAAGAAAAAGTCATAAATTTTTCCTCCCTCACATAATTTTTCTACTTTCTTTACATACTTTTCATCAACATCCCAAACCCTACAAACTGGTTCCTAAACCGCCTCAAACCCCCTTCTCCCCGCTTAGTTATAGCCCCTTGAAAATTTTGAATGGCCGGGGAAAGGCTGCTCTAGGCGCGTATTGCTGCACGATGGATACATCATGCCGCCAATCCGGAGAATATGAATATCATCGCGTGTGTTCGATGATTCTTTTTCGTTTTTTTCTACTGTTGCTTTGTTCCGTTCCTTTTCATGTATTTTCTCTTCGAATATCTCGTGGCGGATATCGTAATTTTTATTGAAGTCAAAGGGGACTTCATTTTTTGCAATTTCGGGACGCCACCTCGTGCCGAGCCCTGGTCTAGGGTCAGAGGGGACTGCGTAAAAATTCGCAAAAGTCAAGGGGAACTTCGTTTTTTGCATTTTCAACTAGCCACCTCGTGCCGAGCCCTGAATGGAAACAGTGTGATTGGTGCCAAAAAAACGATAAGTCCCATCAGGTGTTTGGAATTTCGCTTGCAGACATGTTGACATAAACTAATGAATTTTACATATCATATTTTGCTATCAAAAGCATTTTGCTAGTATAACAAGCTTCTCCACGCAGATTAGGCCAAGGTTGCAATTAGTGCAATATTTAAATAGCTATAAATCATTTGCTAGGCTTGTGGGCGTGTTGTGCTTCAATAGCTCTGGGAACAGGCTTGTTCTAACAATAAGTCTAGAAAGAAGGATACAACGAGAAGAAAGGCAAATTATAATAAGCAGTAATAAATCGTTTTGTTATATCTAACCCCAATGGCGTACCCATCCGCTCGGGGAGGAGGGGGAGTGGAAAGTGTGACAAAAAATTAAGATGCTTGGCGTTGGCTACGTACTCCGAAAAATTTTTTGGTATGCTTCCCAAAGTTTCCGAAAAAAAATTTATAAGGCTAAAATGAATTTTCAAAAAATTAAGAATTATTTTAATTATTTACAAGTATGGAAAGTCACTTGCACACATTTATAACTCATATGTAGATAATGTGGCGAACATTCTCTCTTAACCTAATAAACTCGCCATTAACAGAAAAATAGATTTTCGTTGTATTCGCACCTACATACAAGGATAGACACACGTGCAAGGACGCGTAGACAAGCAACTAGATTTCAAGTTTCTTTTATGATTTTACGATAGATGTGAATAAGTGTCAGGAATGTTTCTTTGAGCATTACAGCAAGTGCTTATAAACTCTCAATGGGCTACTCCCAATGGTCCCCATTTTTTGAAAATTGGGGGAGATTCACCACAGTCTGAAGAATGGGTGATAAACGAAGACTTGCCCTATCTGCAATGGGCAAAAAAATTCGGAGCAACCGTGCACTCTATTGAACACAGATACTATGGCGAAAGCATAGTCGGAGGGTAAGACCATATATGTGGACAGACAATCACAACCAAAGCAATGGCGTTTATTTTCCAGGACAAGGGAAGACCCCAACCCAGATCTCACGTATTTGTCTTCACTTCAAATGTTATATGATGTGGCTGATTACATACGAAGCGTCAACTATCATTCAAATAGTACAGGCCCCTGGATCGTCTTTGGTGGTTCATATGCAGGTGACAGAAAAGATAAATTGTGAAAGGGGAAAGAACTATCAAACTTAATTTTTTGTAAACTATCTAAAACAATAACATCTACAAAATGTCCTGTGGTCAACAAATTAACTCGTAAACATTAGCGACTTCAAAGGTAAACCTTATTCCAGAAAGGATTTAACCTGTGTTCAGGAATGTGGCTCATCAGGGTAAATTTATCCCTAACATACAGCAATGTTAAATTTACCTCAAGACTTCGTATAAACAACATTATTTGACAACGAAGACATATTTCTAATCTCAAATTTCCTAAGTTCTCTTTTGTCTCGCTTAATCATATTACAAAAATGATTTTTTGTTAGTCTTTCCATCAATTCGTAGCATTTTCATAAACCAACGAAATGACAAAGTTTTGTCGAAATTCAATCGATAATGTATTTTCCGCAGCTGTACGCAATCTGCAACCTTCTGCCCCCTTACCGTCGGTTTTCGACTTCGTTTTTCCAAAACACACCAGGTATAGTCCCAAAGAAGTCCTTCAACCAACGCCGAAGATCGTCTTTAGAATCGGAACAAACCAGTTCATACGAAGACTGCAAGAGTGCCGGATAAAAGACCGCGTGGTTGGGCGAGGTCTGGATAACAATATGTCTATCAATCAAGTCTTGCAAATAGCTTTGCCGACGTTTGCCCTACGGAGCTGTATCTCGTCATGCAGAAAAATTCACTGTACCTGTCTTTTGAGTTATTTTTGCAGTAAGGATTCGTTTAGTGCAATAGGGGCGCTATACCGTTTTCTTCTTATCTAGCAACTCTCAGTGCAAAACTTCCTGCTCATCGTGCACAAAGTCTTGCTTAGGGAACCCTCAAAATTTTTAGTTTCTCCAGAATAATCTCATTCTTTTTTGTCTTATATTGAAGAAAAAGCGCCATTTCCCATATTCGGGGAGAAAAATCCATGCGAAAACATTTTTTCCATAAGAAAAAAATGAGCAGATGTCGAAAATGCTTCTTTTTTGTTGTTTGAAATTCCACATTTGGAATCTGAGAAATCAAAGCGAGTCAGCTTTTCATCGAAATTAGTAGGTTCATTGTATAGGTTCATTGTAAACAGCATGATTAGCTCTTCTTAGAGTATCTTGCCGCAAAATAACAGCCTTCCAGAGAAACAAGGACGAGAATGGAAACGCTACGGAACTTATGGAACGATTCAATAGTATTTTTTTTGGTCAGCTTCAGGTTTACTGGTGAGCTACGATAGTTGGGCCATGTATCAAATCATTCGAAGAATGTCATATCTCGCGATGCTAGGCGATCCTCCAAGCATGGAGGCCGGGGGCATCGGTTACCGCGCTGTCCGGCGATGATTACGGTAGCCAAGGCGCGTGTTGCCGCAATCGTCTCCGTACCTCTCCTTTATTGGCTCGTTGCCAGCCAGGCGGCTATGTAAAGCGACGGCGCTTCACTTTGGTTCCTTGTTCTTCTTTGCTTTTATCCATTAATTTCATTTCTTGTTCAAATCTTTCGGCCGCTATGCTCCTTTCCTTTTATGTAATAGGAGTTGAGCCGGATGTTCTTTGGATTGAAAAACGGACTCCTTTTGTTAGAGCAATGAGACGAGCTGGGTACTGAACGGAGTTGCATGTCAAGTTGGAATTGTAACATCCCAGGAGCTGGAGAAGACGTGCCGTCGTCTACAACCTGAGCATTGCGCGGTGGATTTGTTGTGCGAACCCTTAAGAGCTACACGTATTCTAAATTACTTAAGAGCTACACGTATTCTAAATTACTACAAAAGCGCTTCGGTAGCATGGACTGTGTTTTCGTCCCGTGTTTCCTGTAGTAGTAGTAACTAATTTTTAGTTTAGTATTCTTCTTGGTCTATTTTAACTATTTTAACTGTAGTGTGTTGCAGTGGCGTACCCAGGATTTCGGCTCGGAGGGGGGGGGCGGCAAAAAAATTTTTCAAATGAAGGTGCGTGGCGTCAGCCACGCACTCTGAAAAAATTTTAGGGGACTTCCCAAAATTTTTGCGGGCCCCCAACCCCCTAAAATCTGGAAAAAGGGGGCGTGCCGCCAGCCACGCCCCCGAAAAAATTTTTTTATAAGGCTAGAAAATTTTTAATTGTTTACAAAAGTAAACAAGTCACTCGCACATTTTTATAACCTAACCCATGTAAGTAACTTTTTTTTTAAATTTCGCGACCCGTTCTCGAGGGCCCCCCCTCCTCGGTACGCCACTGGTGTGTTGTCATAAGGATAAATCACTCAATCAATCTCATGTTTTTTTTTCGGTCGCGCGTTAGGTGTGCAGTAGGATAGGTACGTCGCTTAGTATCAAGCTAGAATCAGGCCTCAGGTTACATCTAGGTGTCATGAGCCCATTGAGTCGCCACAATGAAAGTGTATGTTGGTGAACTAAAAGATTTGTTCGAGCCTAATGCTCGACATTCCGAAGGCTCTTAGTTGGACATGTACTTAACTCAAAATTAAATCCTTCACTATAATAGCTCGGTCGAATATAATACCGGATGACAACATTAAACCAAAACACGAAAAGAGAGCTTAGGAAATTTGATAATAATAATCAGAAATGTGTTTGCTGTCAAAACAGTATCGTTGGGGTGAAGTGGTGCATCGAGATATTTTGCTCTAGGCTAGGGTTGGATTTATCCTGACGAGCGACACTGTGAATACGAGTTGATTGGGGTAAAGTGTACCCTCAGGGGTATGTTTACCCTCAAGGTTCGTCAATCGATACGGGTTAATTGCTTTCCGGGGTAAACCCTTCCTCGATACTCAAGGGTTGATAAATACGGTCAGTGAACCCTGAGGTACAACCTACCCTTGAGATTAGAGTTTACTTTCGTGGTTCCTTGACAAATAAGGCCACTGGTTTATACCAACCTACGACTACCCACAAAACTAGGCAAGTTCGCGGTTTTAGGTAACTTAGCTGTATGGGCGCGTCAACTATTCCCTGACTTGATTACTGGAGCCGTTGGTTCTTCTGCACCAGTGGAAGCTAAATTGGATTTTTATGGTTAGTTGAGTTCACCGCAAGCGAAGCCTTGATTCGCGCTATTAAGACATCCTTTCCAGTTCCGCCCTATCCGAGGTATGACCGTTAGTCTGTACATTTCTCAAATTAAAATGAATGTTCGTCCGCACATGCTCGAAAACCTAAAATTCGTTTCACGACGTAAGGGGTAACTTTTTTAGCTTTTAAAGGCACCATGCCAGCTTAGAGCTTGTAGCGCATCATAACTTTTTTCCAATTAGTCACAGTAAAGAAGCCATGGCCTAGAGAATTGTAGTATGATTCGGGTGCTTGTCGAAAGGCGCGTTTCGGCAATTGTCATTGCCAGAGTGAATCATCAATTTATCCTGTTTGTTACGGATTTCACCTTCATGATCCTCAATGATAATCCACAAAGACAAAGTTTCAAAAGACAGACCTTTTATCCGTGACAGACTAGCATCTTCTTATGTAAGATCAACGCTCAGTAATCTTCTAGTGATTACAATTAGGCCTTCAACTAATTCTTCGGAAAGCCACAAAAATCGAGCACCTACAGTAAGGACGCCCAGGTACGATGAGCTGTAAATGCGTGAAAACATCGTGTGTAGTGTTCCCAGGAATAGAAGAAATAACAGGCGATTGCGTAGATTATGTTGTTATTTTCTCTTTTTTTGAGAAATTTTTTTTTGTTTTCAACAATAGTGAGGAAGCGAGAGTTATACTTCACGATTGTCGGGTTGGGATTTCGATCAGACAGCGCTTCAAGTGGCGAGACATGAGGTAACAAATAGCATTGAATTTGGTTTTCTGCTCAATTCCGATGTAAGAAGGTGTTATTATAAGGAAGAAAGAAACAGCACATTTTGAAAGCTTGCGAAAGTCCGGTTACAAATAAGTTTGTTTTTTTTTCTTAAAAGAAAGCCAGAAAGATACAAACTAGCATTACCTTAAGTGTTGTAAGTAAGCCTACACCTACGAACCTTGGCCTAATTCCCTTGCAAATAAGATTGCATATAAGAATCTGCCAAGAAAAGCCCAAAAGCGCCCGAAAAAGTCCAAAAAAGCCGGAAAGCGCCAGAAAGAGCCGAAACACAGAAACGAACTTTTTGTAGAATTCTGACATTATTTTAATGTACAGACGGCAGAAAATAAACCAAAAACATTCGGTTGCGAAATCAACACAGATGCCTTGACCCGAAAACGTGCGCGCGGGAGGAAGGTGTTCCGGCTCTTTCTGGCGCTTTTGGGCTTTTTTGAACTTTTTTCGGGCTTTTTGGGCGCTTTTGGGCTTTTCTCGGCGAAGTATGACGGGTCTCATAGCTTCGCAAGGGGCATTAAGAAATCACGGTTATTTCATCCAGAATGACCAAATATTAGGTCGGAAAAAAATTCTCGAACATTTTTAGATCAAATCTGTTATATCTCGAAATCTAATGCATGTACGTGCGCAAAAATTTGGAGCTGTACTCTCCCTTGCTTGTGTCTGAAATTCAAGCAAGTGGGAGGAGCCTAGGACTTGTCACTTTTCAATTACCTCGTTTTTCTCGCTGTTTAAGCTCATAATTCATCGAACTGTGCATGAAGTATGTAAGTGTGTGTATACTATAAACTAGAGCATATGGGGGTTTCAAAACGCTTATAGAAGTTGGCGATCTGGGTTAGGGCGGAAACCTATGCTTTGAAATCTTCGCTTGTAATTTCACTGAGAACATTGATAATGATTGCGCTTAACAATGTTTTATAGAGATTGCTATCATCTATCCAGTGGTGCGTAGCATGCCCCAATTAGAACTTACATCGAAACAAAAACATCATCTAAAGGCAATGTCCGAAAACTTTCTTTCCAACCTAATACCTACAAGGCCTCTCGATATTAGCATTGACAAATCAAGAATAATTTGAAAATAAGTGGAAACGATTTATGGTCGATTTTAACAAAACCATTACTACAAGAGAATCAGTGAAAGGATGGATTTCAGCGAAGTTACGCATTTGATAAGCGAAAGTTGCTAAGCAATTCAAAGGAATTGATCACCAATAGTTATAAAAGGCTTCGGCTGGAGAGGCAAAGTAATGTAAATAAGTTGGCCTACAGATGATTTGGCTAGTTTCCCCGCAGAAAAAACCGCATATAGCTTTGCAAGGAGGAATTGAGCACCAAAAGTAATAGTGCATCATTGATATGAGTTTGGATGCTGACGCTATCAGTGCTGATGAACGTGACGAAAGAACAAATCTTCTGCTCATTTTTGAACCTCGTTGAAAACGCTTTCGCAGCAGAGGACGCTATTCCCGTGTTTTCTTGGAGTGAAAGGCACTTATCTACAAGATTTTAAAGCAAGATATTTTGACCTTACTTTGATTATGCTTACGAATTTGAAAGACCCGCAAGATTTCATTGATCCTGAAGGTCCAGGTTATTTGTTATTAGTCTGTGAAATCTGAGAGCAAAAATGTAGAATGTTAAATTAGAATTTTTACTTGCAGAGTATCTAGAAGTGTTGGAAAAAGCAGTATTCGATTATGATCTCTCGTGTGCGTTTGAAATATACGAAGTGAGACTTCTGCTTATATGGCTTTCTATCCATGAGTAGTTTGATTTCAGGATATTCAATATTTGCATAGCCTTACTCTTAGTGGTTCTGGCAGAAAGAATATTTCTGATGCATTTAAGTAAGTCTGGTACCTTCTTCGAAATCGCGCTATGGTCGTCATTGTTTGTTTACGTTTTTGTAGGGTAGAGGAACGATTATCTCAATCAGGTACCGCCTCCGCGGGCTGCTGGTCCTTTCGCCCTAATGTTCTGCATCGTATTAGGACCAGTAGTTTAGCAGTTCGCGGAAGTGGTGCCAGATGGAGGTGTTCGTTCCTCGTAACTTGCTTGTGTGTCTTTGTGAAAATGTCGTCGAAAAGTTTACAGGACGAGGTACAGTCAAGATCTTAGAAGATCTTAGAGATCAAGAAGATTAGCACGCTACTAGCACGTCACTTTAATTCACAGGGACAAGCTCATTCAATAAGCGTGCCCTATAAAAATCGTGTGCCAAACAATTCCACGGGCCTTTGGCTGCGCAATTGCATCTATTGTTGAACTTTTTGCAAAGCCAAGGATCTATCCGATTGATAAATCTGCAAGTCATGTACAGGACTTTTCGATTGAAGTGTCGGATGCACCAGCACTTCCACTCCCGCGCTGGACTCTGCGTCTGCGAAACACGCTCTCTAATCATTTCCAATCAAATGAGGCTCCGCCTTTCCCACGCTCGCCCTGGGAAAGTGATCAGAGAACATGTTCGCGGAAGAGACGCAAAGTGCAGCGCCGGAGTGGAGATGCTGGTGCCATCCGACACTTCACTTAATAAGCCCTACACTTAAAGGCACCGTCCACCCAGATTCTCGACTTCCAGGTTTTTGTCGTTTCAGGGCCTTTTCATGTCCCTGATTCCGAATATGAAGACGAGAATCCGTGAAAACCCCGACAATCCCCATTCCGGAGAACCCACATGCCGGCTTTCCAGAACGGTGATTGAATGAGCGCACACAAATGGGCGGGCATGGATGGGGAGGGGCGTGCATGGATGGGGGTCCTCGTGCATCGTCGCTGTTCCGAAGCGATTTTCTCGCTTCAGAAGCGGCATATTGCGCCGGGACTTGGGTATTGGCTTGACAGGAGGCCCTACTGTTATATGCTGCCAAAAGCTCAACACCCTTAACTTAGGGTGGACGGTGCCTTTAAGTTCAAAAAGGAATTCAAGTTATTTTTTCGCGAAAAAAGAACCAAAATCAATCATTGCATAATCGTAGACTTTGTCAGGATCCTAGACAATTTTTGTTTAAAACGGCGCTATGTTGTATTTTATGGAAACATTGTGGAGTTTTTAAGCATGTTTGTTAGCTTGGCTGTTAACGTTTGCAGAAATAAAGCAGTTTTCCAAGGCCTCTACGCGACATAACCTTAATGTCTTTCAATTTCCTTAGAATCTATGTATCATCACTCGTGGTGCACCATCTGTCTTCTTACATTGCTCCTCAAAACTCAAAATAACAAACCATGCACCATTTATGAATTGGTTAGAAACCGCATGCTACTCAAGCAAGCTCAAACATAGTCTCACTAACTAGACCTAAAAATCCTCAAAAAAAACGAGAAGTCGATTGAAATAAAACAACCTAAGTTGTGTTTTTTCGGCCACAAAAAACGATATCCCATTTGTTGTCTCAAAAACGAAATCCAGCCTGCTCATAAGCCAGCTGTGCCGAGCTCTGAGAGCCTACTACACGATAGATTTGTCGCCAAAATTACAGCATTTGAGCTCGCTAATTCCGTTTGCGGCAGCTTATTACAAATACTGGTGTCCAGGAAAAGCGAAAACCAAAATAATAGTTGAAGAATAGCCATGTGGTTAAAAAGATACGCAATGACAGTCTACTCGCGCACAGCGTCAACAGTGCCGCCCGAATCTGATTACAGACTAATACCGCCATGGGACGAGAACACCACTGTTACTGCTTTGGACGTGCAGTTTTTCTTCTCTAATATATATGGACAGTATCAGAGTGCTGTACAATATAACGGCGTCAATAAGGGAGTGAGGCTTTTCACAATCATTAGCCATACATTCTTCCTGTCTTTTAAGCCTTACGCTGATGGCTACGGTATACCGCAGATGTGCGAGATTTTGTTACCTGAGAAAAGGAGTATTCTTAAAAAACTTGCCACTTTCAATGAGTATATGTTAAAGATGTATTCGGTAAGTACACAACTTAATGTTGCACTGTACATTGAATATTTATCTTCAATGAAACAAATTTTAAACAAGGGCAAACATACATTTTAGTATAGTCTAGTAGATGTAGTGTAGGGTTGCTACAAATTTGTGGTACGGAACACTGCACGAAATTGCCCGTACCGCTGCAGGTTGGTGCTCGCGAGCCTATCTGACCAGGGCTCGGCGGCTTTTTTCATTTTCCAAGAACGAAGTCAGCATAGACTTCGCCACAGAAATACGACATTACCTATGACGCGATCATGAGTGGATCAAAACGAATAATGAAAAATAATGGAACAAAACATAAAACAACATGGAACAGAACAGAAAAAGAACTAAAAATGTTTGTATTCTCTGAGTTGGGGCATGCTGTGTCCGGCTGTGCACCCTTGCTCGCTTGTAGCAGGCTTGCCACCGGCATACAAAATATTGAGAGGCTGTGACTATGTGAGCAAGAGAGGAGGTTTAAGGAGATTCAAATACTTAGTTGTAATGTTTTTGATGTAGATTTGTATTAATTTAAATTAATATAATTCAAATTTATTTTAACATGCGAGAAAATTATGTGAAGGAAAAGAAATTCGTAACTTTTTCTTTTAGCCACCTCAGGTGGATGTTCAGGTGGCTGGAAAGCCATCTAATCTTTAAAAGAGTTTGCCATGTCTTCAATTCACATAATTTTTCTATAAATTTTTGTACATAGTCATAACTCCTTATTGCACATACACACCAATTTTGGTGCCAGCTCATTTTCTCTTTGCTGTAAACAAGCCTTTTATCTTTTTCGAGGCAGATTTGAATATCTTATACTAGCTGGCTTACCCGGCTCCGCTCGGCCCTGTCAATGCTATGATTAAGGTCTTATCCCTATCCCTGTAAAACCTTTCATTGTGCCCACTTCTACATGCAATTCCCTATTCCCGCTGTGTTAGTAATTAGCATGCCCACCTACCTCCCTCAACAATCCAGCCCCGCAGCTCAAACTTTGCAAAAAATCGCTAAAGTCGATGAAAGTAATCGATAATCCTGAAAACTAATATTGTATTCGGAATCCCCATGCTCGATTACCACCCTGTGCAAACTCCCAGCCGCGTAGCTCAAACTTTGCAAAAAAAAATCGATAAAATCGATAAAATCGATATCGATCGATGACGAAAAGTAGCCTATGACACCCGCCGGGGCCCGATGTGTATGTGTGCCAAGTTTGGTCCGGATCGGTTTAGAAATGGAACTTTCTATTCAGAACATACGTACAGGCAGACAGACAGACAGACAGACATACAGACATACAAACAGACATTCAGCTTTATATATAAGACGGGTCGTCCCGGCGGCTGTCAGCCACTTTTCGTCATCAACCGATATCGATTTTATCGATTTTTATCGATTTTTTGCAGGATTCGACCTACGGGGCTGGGAGTTTGCACGTGGGGTAATCGAACATGCTGATTACGAATACAATATAAGTTTTGGCATTACCTATCACTTTTATCGATTTTTTTGATTTTTTTGCAAAGTTTGAGCTACGGGACTGGGAGTTGGCACAGGGGAGTAATCGAGCATGCTGATTACGAGTACAATATTAGTTTTTTGGAATTATTCGCTACTTTTATCGATTTTATCGATTTTTTTGCAAAGTTTGACCTGCGGGGCTGGGAGTTGGCACAGGGGGTAATCGAGCATGCTGATTGCGAGTACAATATAGTTTGGCGCTATTCGGCTACCCGAGCCCCTAAATTTTTTTGCCGTAGAGCTTGCTCAAACTTCGTGTATAAGGGTTATCTTACATGCTGATTACAGCTATCACACGTTCTTCGCAGAACGTCTCCCCGTGTGGTTACAGTAGATGTGCGGTAGGAAGTCAAAATCATGAATTGGGCTGGAGTTCGGTCCAGAGAACTTATTCGACATGCTGATTACGAATTTCATACTCTCTCTGCATATCGGGACTTTTTCATAGGGTCATGGTGGTTATACGGTATGGGGTCGAAAACATAGATTTGCTTCAAACTTCGTCTAGGGTGGTCATTTAGCGCGCTGAATATGAATATCATACTGATTTCGCAGGATAATGCATTTTCTTGAATTACGGTGGGTGTAGATGGGTCGAAGTTCCAGATTTGCTCAAAACCTTACCTGTAATGGTTTACAAATATACTGCTTATGAATATGAAACTTGCTCGCGTCATAACGCATTAGTGAAGTTATGGTGAGTTGCAGGGTTTGAATGGACATTTTTTCGCTTTCGGGCCAATTAGATCCCAGATATTCACGAAATAGGGAAACGGTCGTTTTGTATGGCGGTCTCCAGCGCCATCCTGATAACCTGTCCTAACGTGTAACGCACGCGGCAATTCCCCTCCTCCTGTTATTGCTTAGGCAAAAGCCGCCGAAGGGTGTATCGCGCGCGGCAGTGGTCCTATAAGGAAAGCATTACGGTCGTGGGAAACTTTTATACCACACGAATTGCCATTATCGTGGGTATTAAGCACGATATTCTTGAAACAGCACTTTAGGTAATTCTCTGCCAAGGTTTCAGGCAGGTTCATGACTTTTACCCGCTGCCACGCGAAATGACTGCGATATTCGTCATGAGCGGCTTGAATAACCCCATATACCGAGTTTCAGCAAGACCCACCACAGAAACATTTTAGCCGAACAACGCCATCAGTTTTTAGAATTATCATTACTTTTATCGATTTTGTTGTTTTTTTGCAAACGTTGATCTACGGGGCTGGGGGGTTGGTGAGGAAGGTAGGTGAGCATACTGATTACTAACACAGCGGAAAAGGGAATTGCTGTAGAAGTGGGCACAGGTAAAGGTGCACAGGGATAGAAATGGAACTTTTATCGTTTTTGACAGGGCCGGGCGGAGCCGGGCATGCCAGCTAGTACCAATGTAGGCAGCATGTGTCTGAGCAAGTACTCGTGGGGCTTTTTAAAACGGAGTTGTAATTTTTTCTCAATGCATTCCAATCCTTTTAGATTTTGGCTTCGAACTTTATGTGGAACAAACTTTTAGCAAATGTCTGTATGCCATCTTGTAGAGCTTGCATTGCTCTATCGAACGATACTTCTCTTGCATTATTGGGGTTAGCTTGTTGTTGCCATAGCATGGACGAAAATGACATTATTTTTTACAATTTAGTATTAAGTTTCTTATGGGGATGTTAAAAGTATAAGTGGATGGCTATTCCCAACAAAGTACATACTGATGGATTCACAAAAAGCTAATCTGCTTTTTCCATGTGCTAAATACCTCCGTGGATAAAGATTTGAGACATCGTTCAAAGAAATCGTTTCAGCAAGCCTGGCTAAATTCAGCGAGCGCTCGGACTCTTTTCACGCAGTTTCGGGCGTACGCCGGCGGTAAACTGTATGGCAGAGTTGTCATCGTTGTGCTAATTACCCGAGTTTCGCGCACTTTCTCTCAGCGGGTGGTTGCGGGTATGGGCTGCGCAGTCCTTAACAAAGGAACGTGCGGCCTTCGATATTGCGTATTCTTACGGGAAGCCCACGAGGATGCGGCCACAGCGCCGCAATTGATTTATGAAAGAGCCGCCATTATTCTCCGAGCTTTTGACTAAAAGTGGCCAAATTTTTTTCAAATATCTGCAAGCGGACAAGTAATCAGCGAACTATTTTTTCTGTGCCCGCTTGCCTATAAATAGCATGGCCGCCTATCTCCGGCAATTCCTTGACTAACAAAACTCGGGCATCTAGCTGATTCTTTGAGAGCTGCATTCTTCTCTATTCAGACACTGGGAGCGGACGAGCCGCGGCCGCAGATGGCTTTTCCGGCCCACCGGCGGCCTTAATTTGGGGGCGTGACCGGGGTGCGGCCGACCCGCGGCCCTTCGTTCATGCATATCATTGCATCGGCCGAGCAGCGGGAGAAAATGGGCTTACCGGGTCAGCCGCGGTCCTTAATGATGGGGCGAGCATTGCAGCCGCTGAGCCGCGGACCATGTGTGAGATACTCCGGTCTTGCATGTCCTCCGAGGTAGGAACAAGATTATATGTTGTCTTATGAACAATCTTCTATAGCATCTTGGCGTTATCCAATTTTGAAGTCGGACTGGTTTTCGAAGCTGCTATATCGGTGGCTTCTTTCTTCTGTGCCATGTTGCGCCGAGGCCAATCAAGCAGAGCTAGAATGAACTACGGACGGTCCGACAACCAGCTGCGGCTGAGCCGAGGCCCAATCTCCGGCTGGGCCGCGGGAGCTGCGAAAAACAAGCCGGAAAAGGGCCGCGGCTCGTCCGCTCTCAGTGTCTGAGTACCTGTATTATCTTTGGATCGCCTCAATACTTATAACATGTCACACTCTTTATAGGAAGAAGAAACATTCAATGGCACAGAAAATAGTTACTCTGATTTTATTAGTACGTTAAAAGAGTCTCAACGCTATGGACCAGGTAAGCTACTTGTTTCTTTGTTCTTAGATAAACAACTAACAGCATGGCTGATTCACTTACAGAAGCGGGGGCGTCAATTCTCTGGACGTGGCAAACGTGTACGGAGTTTGGCTATTTTCAGTCGACCGATAGAGGGTTTGGCATGTTTGGAAGCCCAACACCAGTAAAGTAAGATTGGTTATAGCAGAAAATTTTGTTTATGTTTGAGCGAGTAGGTTCATATGATTTCGGCTTCCAGGCTCTGACGAAGGCGAAAGCCCAGAAACGTTAACCAATAGAGAATTAATATCAATTTGATATTTCGCTCAATAAAGTCAACTATAATCTTTGCTGTTTAGCTTATTTACTCGGATTTGCACTGATCTATTTGGAGAAAACTACACGACGCAGGCGATCCAAAATAACATTGATAGAATCAACCATCAGTACGGCGGCAAAGATTTTTTCAAAGTATGTGCCTACCGTCCGTTATTGTAGCGTCACAAAATGCTTGAGGGTACAAATGTTGTACTTCCAAACGGCTCAAATGATCCTTGGCATGCACTTGGACTGTACGAGTCCAACGATCCCTCAGTTGTTTCTTACCTAATTAGGGGTAAGCTTGTATGAATACGATTGGAACTTGATACGTGAAAGAGCAATTTCAAGGTACTGCTCATTGTGCAGACATGTACCCAGCGAGGGAAGAAGATCCGCCAGAGTTGAGGAAAGCTCGTAGAATCGTAGAAGAAAATATAGCTAAGTGGCTCGGCAAATCCGGCACTACAACAATATCACACAAGACTACTTCAAGCGCCTTGACAACAACGATTACTTCTTCACAGTCTTCAGAGTTAATTCTTGGTTAATATTTATTAAGCTTGTTTAAGCTCATTCGATAACTTAAACGTTCTCCAGGTATGGCTGTTCTAATGATTTCGCCTGCAATGATGCTGACTTTGTGGTAACACTAATGATACTTTAAATTTTACCTGAATGAAGCTCTTACTTCTGATGGTTTTTACGCTTCAGAGTTGTTTGCAATTTGCAATTTTCATACACTGTTCCCTAACTATATGGTGGCTCGAAAATAAGGTGTTATTACGTAGTTTGTACTTTTTTGTCAAAATCTACAGCACCTTTATAATCAAATAAAGGAATCAGCTCACAATTTTTCACAAAATATTATTTGATCGCATGATGGTCTGCTGCTGAGTCGTGAAACGCATGCCAAATGTCATACGATCAAAGTTTAAAGCCTTGATAATCCCATGTTGGGGGACAAGGATGCACTCACTTCCACTTACAAGTCATGCATTTGAGCAAGAGTTCTGTGTGGGAGGTAGCGGATAATTTTAACATTGAAATCATCTCCCTTTCACAGTTGTTGCTGTTTCGATAGCCATGCTTTTCAGTACATTCATATTTTCACTTGCAGCCTTGAACTCATAAGCATCTTGCTTTTAGAGCTTGTCTATCTGCAAGCATGTGTAACCTGACACATCCTTAACCAATTGGATTATTTACAATTTTGGCATTCAATATAAGTCACGAGAGATGGCATTTTGAATGAAAACTAACAAGTTCAATAATTTGAAAGTTTCACTTTCTTTCAACCTGGGCATAATTCGTATAGTACAAGTACTTCCGTGCCAAACAGGTTTGTTAGGTGTTCTTTATTTCCAATCACGGCCTAACGTTTCGACGCCTTTTGTCTTCCTTAGAGGCCTGAAAATGGCTCAAAGCGTTACCCGAGAAACGAAGCCATCGAGTACCATCTCCATTCCTACTAGTTCTCAACCTTCGTTCAACATTCCTACCGTAAAAATTGCTATATTAGAAGATGAACATACCCTGTGAACACCGCTATTTGGGGTTCCGCACCGGAAATGATGGTGTTGGCGGATAAAATGGGCTATACCATAAAAGCACATAAGTGATCTACAGTCTGCATAGAGATATGAAGGGGAGGAAGTCTGTGGTAACTGACAAACACTCATTTTTATTGTTCATTGCTGGATTCTTCGCAGAAATCCAGAATGCTTCTAACGCCTTCCTCGCTGAGGTTTCCTTTTCATGTGCCAAGATTTGGCATTTGATATCGAAATCGTCTCCACCATGCGAATCGTGGCTAGCCCAGAGGTGAAAACAATGTTTCAAGCCTTTCATCTTCAAGATGTTCTTTTACGCAAGTATTAAGTGTTCTGCCAGTTTCTCCGATGTAGATGGCATTGCAGCTAAGACATTCTAACTGATAAACTACTCCCATTTGTGCACAATCACCTATTTTGCCATGCGGACAGACTACGCATCGATTTGTTATACAATATCGATCGTAAAGTCTGTTTCGAACTAACTGCGTTTTGATATTGTCACCTGGGATGTCAACTAAAACAATATCGTTTTGCAGTTGTGCACGTGAAATACATTTTCGAAATGTCGTACTGATGTTATCGGAAATAAATGGAAGGCACAGTGGGCTTATTACTGCGGATTTTATTACCATTCGCCTGATGTTGATCATGTGGCAAAGAATGATAACCGTTGCTGCAAGCAATCTTAGAGGCCAGATCTCGCGTCTCGCATCGTTCCTTTTCTCCGGAGCACATCTGCATAGCCGTTTCAAACATATTCTTGATCACCGATCTTTTCGCAGATGCAGGATGCGCATTTGACATCCAAAAGGATGTTCTTCGAGCTTTCTTTGCGGTATCATTCTACGCTAACAATATCATTGGATAATCTTACTTGCGCGTTGAGGTAAGGCAGCCATCCGTCGTGTGGTGTTTCTCGTGTGAGCTTTATGTACTGCGACTGCTGGTTCAAAATTTCGAAACACTTGTCCATTTCGGACTGTGTTGATGTAAATATACAACAGTCATCGATGTACCGGCAGTACATTAGCGGCATGCGGGCTAGCACTGGTTCTTCGATCTTACTCATAAAACAAATGGCGAGAACCGGCGCTAACCTCTGACCCATAGCTAATCCGCGTATCTGGGCATAGTAAGTCCCAGACCATCTAAAGATGTTGCACTTCAAACATTCGCTTATCAGGGTCATAGTCCGCCTCTTGCCAAGCCCAAAAGTATTGATGGTAGTTGCATGTTTATCTAACAATTCGGATAGCGCTTGCAAGGCTTGTTCATTCTGCACATTGATGTAGAGCGAAGTCACATCGAATGACTCGACTACAGTGCTCGGATCAAACTGAACGCTTCGGACTTTCCCGATCAAGAGTTGGATAAATTTGCTGGAATTTTGGAAGCAATTGGCTCACTATCTTGCTCAAGAACCACGAAATTCGATCGGTGGGACCGCCAACACAACTAATAATAGGTCTAATTTTGTAAGTATCTTCTGACTTTGAGCTCATGTTCCGCAAGGAAAGCTTGTGCGTCTTAATCAGGCTGTGAAACACCGGGCAACTTGGACATCTGCGATTCAACTTATTTATGAATCTGTCGTCAAGTCCGGCAGATTTTGCTGTCACGGTCCAAGCGTCATTCAGTTTTCTACACTGGGATCGGAAGTCTTTCGCAGAAACTACTCTGTACGTTGTAGTGCCCGCTAGATGCGCTGTTGTTATTCGACGATCCAGTTCTTGAGGAATTACTACGAATTCGCCTCCCTTATCGCTTACAGATAGTCGCACCGTGCCGTTCAAGATTACCTCACGTATCTCTTTGAAACCTTGCCACTGTTTGGGTGTAAGGCAGGGTCAAGCAAGGGGTGTGGCACACGATCGCTGGTTACGATCCCCCCCCCCCTGATTGCTGTCTTAATAAGACCCCCCCCCCCCTGGACTATATACCTAAGATAGCATTACCAGAGTTGAGAAAGAGGTCAGGCACAAGTTTTTCGAAAACAACCCCCCTCCCATGAAAGCCCTCAAACGACCCCTTCTTCCTCCTCTTAACCTCTGGACCTCAAAGTGTGACATTCTGAAGGACACCAGCTTTTTCTGGAGAGTTTTCAGATTTCTGAGAGCTGTACGCCCGATCTTCTGTGGCTGCACTTTACAATCACACGTAATTTGACGGCTGATTTTGATCTAAATGGGCATATTGAAAGGACCATAATTTTCTTATGGGTGGGGCGTTCGGCTCCAAATTTTCAGTGTAGCAAGAAGAAGCTATGTGCTCAATACTCATACCAGCAATGGAGCGCTTTCTGGATTTTAAAGGCAAGTTAAGGGGGTGGGGCACACCCCCTTAAAAGCTGCGGCAGCCGCAGCTTTTAAGGGGGTGGGCCGCACCCCATTAACTATATCAAAAAAACATTTTTAGCGGACAATATTTATATGAATCGATAGCCTAAACCTTGTAGATTCCATAGGACTGTTTGGAGCCTGATTTGTCTTCTTAGCTCTAAGCAATATTTGGTGAAAGCACAGCGATCAAAAGCAAAAAATGGGAAAAACGAGATTTTGGTTGGCTTCTAATTCCATAGCTTGCAGGTCTTCTGAAGCGGGATTCCTGACGTGGACAAAGAAGGAGTAGTGCTTTGTCTTGAGTGCAAAAATGGATAGCTAATTCACCTTTGAAACAAAGTTAACCATGTTGGAATTTGACCATTTCATTTAGGTAGCCTAGTATCTTGAATCTTCAGAATTCGCTCACACTTTGTCTACAGGGGTTAATTGACATGCTAATTATGGATATGATACAAATACCATGTTATCACTATTATCAGATTACCCAATTACGACCCCCTCCCCTTTTGACTCCCCAATACGACCCCCCAGGTGTGGCGTGCCGCACCCCAAGCTTGACCCTGGTGTAAGGTCATTCTGATGTTGATGTTCTGCTCTATTCAGAATTTTGAAAACACCAGAGCATAAGAGATGGAACTTCATATCTATCTCGGGAACGGGTGGTGGTTCTTTGTAAAACGATTGGGGGAAGGAAATGGTCGGTAGTAAGCTGTTATTATCGCGAGCTGTAACTGTTGGACTGCCGTATTTGGCTCTCACTGAGAGTGTCTCTGAGCTTGTGCAAACTTCCTACTATCTTGCGGCAAGTCATAGCGTTGATATTCTGTGCAGGGGATGCAAGTCCATTGGAGCGATAGCAGGGTTTGCTACTTCTGTCACATGAACAATTTCTGCAGAGTTCAGTCAGAAGTCGGTCGTACTTTGCGCGGAGTTTGGATTTGATTCTAGACAGCATCGAATCACAGATTAGCTTTGACCCATCCTCAGTGAAAAATAAAAATGAGTGTTTGTCAATTACCACGAACTTCCTCCCCTTCATATCTCTATGCCATTTCCGGTGCGGAACCCCAAATAGCGGTGTTCACAGGGTATGTTCATCTTCTTACATAGCAATTTTTACGGTAGGAATGTTGAACGAAGGTTGAGAACTAGCAGGAATGGAGATGGTACTCGATGGCTTCGTTTCTCGGGTAACGCTTTGAGCCATTTTCAGGCCTCTAAGGAAGACAAAAGGCGTCGAAACGTTAGGCCGTGATTGGAAATATAGAATACCTAGCATACCTTCGATACATAGAGCCACGTACTCTGGTGACCTTCACTTTGAGCGTCACGATAGAACACAACCTTCACCTAGAGGGAAGTCATCCGGGGCGAAGCCCCGGATATCATGGCATAACTAATGACATATCCATATAGGAAGAGATGTGAATGAGGTAAATATAGTAGTGACATCCAAAAGAAGCTCAAAAAACCGAAGGATTACGATTTTGGCCCTTTTTTGCAAAAAGACTTTTATTCAAAAATTCAATTAGGAACTGGAGCAAAATTTCTCAATAAATCTTTCTCTAGACTTCGATTGAGCGCTGGAAGTTCATGAAAGCCGCTAGTTCAATAGAAACGAGAAACTGCGCTCAAATCTTGCGCAGAGAGTTGCTACTTAAATGGGTCTATCTCGTTATGGAGTGATTTTCAAGACCCGCGACGTTGTCAGTGCTCCTGGACGTCTCATGAGGACCACAACGATATTAATGTTACAGGGTTTTGTTATGATCCCGCGGAGGTCAATGACCAGAGCCAAATGCCCCGCCGGCTCTGATCTGTCTCCACTGCTCGTCTGCGTCTTCGCGAGTTGCGCGCTACCTCGCTACCCCAAAAGCGGGGCGCGGGGCATTTGGCTCTGGTACCCTTTTCTTCGTTGTTGGGAGCTCAATTTCGACAATCTATATATCATATTGGAGCTCTTGATCTCTATTTTCACGCTGACAACGTCGCAAGACTCCTTTTTATGATTTAAACGAGAAATATCGGAAAAACGGAGTTTTCGAGAACCTCTTGTTTTTCTTCAGTTCAACTCTTTTCACTCGGTTTTTTTGTGTATTCGATAGGTCTTGTTTCTGTCTATGATGTAGATAACGTCGCCGAGCTTACTTCTTTGCTTATGCCGGTTTTTTCTGTGAAAATTATCAAAAAGTGCGTTTTTCTTTACCTTGTTCTTTTTTAATGCTTTTGCAACGAATTTTCTCCAGCTTGGAAGTTACTTGCTCAGAATGATGAGCGGAAGAATCCAGACAACGTCGCAGGATACGAAACGACCATGCGGGGGTGAAAATTCAAAGGACGCGTCAAAAATCAGATTGGCGTCGATGTGCAGCATAACTTTTCAGACATGTTTAACATGTTCAGTTCAGTTGTTGACAAGTTTGCCTTCTTTCGTTCTCCCAATTACCGCCACAGCTAACGCTTTTTTTCGAAAAAAAAACTTTGTTCCTATTGCCACCCAATTTAACCGGCAATTCTGAAGACGAAAATGTGCGTAGGAAACCACCAAGATAAGGTTTTGAATTTGATGATGTGTTAGCCTCTGTTTTATATGAATTTTTCGAGTTTCCTAGTTCAATTCAGATCTTTAAATTTCCATCTACTTTTTCTAAAACAACCTTCACTTTTTATAGGGGCAAGAACTCAAACAACTATCACTTTCTAGGCTCTGTCTCTTGACTATCGAAGGTATGATACCTAGCAAACCTGTTTGGCACAGAAGTACTTCTACTATATTAGCTAGCGTGCTTTATTGACTTTTACCAACGCTGCATGCGATATTGTTTCCCTGCCGGCTGATCTAAACGCTCAAAACGGAAGTGAAAGTGGCTAGTTAATGATTTAGAATGTTAAGATGGGAAAAGCTTTGTATAAGGTGGCTCCAGCTATTTGTTGAAGACGAATTCCCTTTGACTTCGCACACTATTACGATATGCTCCTAAAATGAAATAGATGAAAACCGTAGAACATCGGAAAACGCTCAAAAAACCTCAAGATAAACAGTGATGCTCGTAATGTCTGCTTCGGGGTGGAGGACTATATGTCGCCGAAAGAAGGTGGTCCCATGTGGACATCTGCGACAAAGCCCGCAGCTCCACAGCACTACAAATTGTACCACCTGTCCGCAAGGGGTGGAGCCTATCGGCGACATATAATCCCCTACCCTCTGCTTCGACATGTGTCCGGCCGCACTTGGAGCGACATTGCTGCCATCAGTCAGAAATTGTGGGGGTTGTACAGACGGAGAGGGGGGGGCTCAAGCCGTTTAACACATTGATGACAACATGGCCCACATGGTGGGTCATTCAATGTCTGCCACTGAGACAGTGTGACCCACATGGTGGGTCGTCGTGGCTTAGACTTTGTTGAAAAGACTTATTTTGGAATACATCAGTTCCAGAAGTTCTCTTAAGCTTTAACCATAGAAACTGCTCATACGTTTCTCGCCTGCTTTATAGAAGTACTGTAGGTAAATTGTAGTTGACATCTGTATGATTTTAGCTAAAAAAATTTCGAACTATCATAGGAAGGCATTGCCCAAGAGGCAGATAACTGAAAACGCACGTTGTCGTCAGCAGTAAATGGTTTACAGGTTTTAGGCAGTAGTAAGAATGATGCGGAAAAAACTGAAATTATGTAGAAAAGGAGGAAATTATGACTTTGTTCTCTCTACGCCACTTCAGGTGACTCTCGCTCTCCAGGTGGTTTCAAGCACCTAATTTGGAAAAACGTTGTCATGACTTTTTTAGATATTCTCACACATTGTTCCAAAACTCTAATGCGCATCTATGCACTACATTCAGGTTTACGTTGCCTGTTCAGTAAACAAGCAGTTTATTACTTTTGGGGCACAGTTTTGAGATTAACACGTTTGCAAGGAGGACATTGGAGCTCTGGATTGTTATCATGCTTAGAATTGAACTGTAAGGCGAAGATGCTCAGATAATCGATGGGATACCTCCGGAGTGAAAGTGGGAGGGTCGCGAGCTCTGCCCAGTGGTGGTTTGTCACTCGTGCTCCGAAGCCCTCCCATTTCACCCATTTTGGTGCTCCGGGGCTCCTCCAAATCTGGCGCACCCCCGGAGCAGAGGTTTTGATAGTGATATGTACATGTACATGACTGGTTGAAAAAATTTCACGTAGTGGGGGAAGGACGGATGGCAGATTTTTGTTCAACTGATGGGCGTGGAGTTTTAAACACCATTTTGGAATAACTATTCCGAACAAAATTCAGAATTCACTTCTCAGTAAACCAGTGGCTCTGCGAAAAAAAAAGATATTCCCTTTATTTTTCATTCATAAATTCTATCGAGAATTTGTTGAGAAAACACTAAATGATATCAATGGAGCGAACGCTTTGATTTGCCATTACATCACTTCCCTATGCATGCACTCTTAAATTCAGAGGAAAGCAAAGAGTAGTAGTTCAATTATGGCAGTCATTGGTAGTGGGAGAGTTGGAAAGCAACGCTTCAGCGTGGAGGTTCAACAATTTTTCCAGCGTTATCAAAATCTGGAATTCTCGCCCTTAATTTCAAAATCAAGAATATGTTCATTTTCAATGTGTTTTTAGAAGAGACGGTGTCAGCATGGATGATCAACCCGTCGAAGAAATGATGCTGGATATGCCGAAAGAAAACGAGGATGTTATAAGGAGTAGAACGGGTGTCTACGTCGTAAGCCCAATGTATAATAACTCCAGTTTGTGACTGTTAGTCCACTTGCCCCTAGATCTTGGAAAGACTTGGAAAAGGAGCGTTTGGTGCAGTTTTTCGCGTCCGCCGTGTGCAAGACAATAGCGAATTAGCCATGAAGTGCGAATCATGCAAATCAAAACGACAGGTAACATCGAGCATACCTATTCAATATAACTGCTAGTATTTAGATAATCAAACATGAAGCCAAAGTTTTTGAAAGTCTGAAGCAGGTAAACTCACCACACTTTTTGCATCTATTGGATCGCGGAAAAGTAACAGAACGCTTTAATTTTATTGTTATGAAGTTGGTGAGGTTTTCTTCTCGTTTATGGAAACCTATTTACATGCAGGGTTCTCAATTTAAGGGTTGATGCAAGGGGTACTACAGATCAAATAAAGAGCGAAAAACTCGTTTCCACAAGGGACGCCATCCATTTAATCGGGGATACAGCCTGTCTTAATGATACTAGCTATACCTTGATTACATTTTATACACTGCACAAGTATTATATAAAGCGAAACGTTTGTTAAAGTAAGCTTTCGAAGACTATGTTTTAAATTTCTGTAAGTGATTGAATAAGCGCCAAACTTTACGGATACTTTGCCCCTGGTGCAATCTATAGGCTACTTGCTGCGATTCGCCAAACCCTTCTGACGGCTTTTGATATGTTCACTTACCAGTGGCGTAGTGAGGGGGGTTCCGCCCCCCTCCGAGAACGGGTCGGGTAATTTTTGAAAGTTACTACTTGAGTTATAAAATTGTGCAAATGACTTGTTCATACTTGCAAAAAAATTAGAATATTTTTTCAGATTTTTAAAAATTTATTTATCCCTATGAAAATATTTCTTCAGGGGTAGCTCACGCCATGCCCCTTTTTTCAGAGATTTCGGGGTTATAAGCCCACGAAAAATTTAGAAAGCATACCAAAAAGATTTTCGGAGTGCATGGCTGACACCACGCACCTTCATTAGAAAAAAATTTCTGTCGCGCCCCTTTCCCCCAAGCCGGAATCCTGCGTTCGCCAGTTACTTACTATAAAGGTTACTGCATGACGAATTCGCAGAAGCAGTATTAGTTGAGCGGGCGCGAACGCGACGCGCGCGCATCATCATCGTCGTGAATTGTGCACCTCATGTGCTCTGCGGCTAAGAAAACCGCATTCGTGCTCAAAGTATTGCGCCTTCGTCATGCAGCAGCCTCTAGGTAAGATGGCTCAATGACTACAAAATCATGCCCTTGAGCTACTGTAATTCGCAGCGAAATGTCCCATTCTGTGTCAAGAAGAGCGCAGTGGTATTCAGAGTCATTTGCTGAGTGTATATGTACTTTTGTACTTTTGTACTTTTGTATTTTTCGTTAGTTTACAAATTGCAACGTTTTCTTAAAAAAGCATTTTCTGGAAGTGTCTTGTAGCTATGGAAAGCACTTAAAGGCACCGTCCACCCAAAGTGAGGGTTGATGAGATTTCGGTGCATACTAGTGTGGGCCCCCACACTAGGCAAACCCCCAAGTAGCGCCGCAAAATACTCCCTCTGAAGCGAGAAATCCGCTCCGGAAGGGAAGTAACCGGAGGTGGTCACTCCGCCCACTTTGCAAGCGCGCTGATATACGCAGGGCGTAATTTGCAAACTAGTCACGGGCAATTATGCAGTCGATTAGGAGTATTAGGAAATGGAAAAGAATTCACATGTCTGCAAAGCAATTCCATCAAATAATTTAATAACACGTCATGGTCAACGTACAGCAATAGCAAGTGAGCTGCGCAGAAATGCGTGACAGATTGCAATGATCCAATAGTATGTAGTAACGACGACAACGATCACTTTGACTACAAATAGTTTCTGAACTTGATGTAACTACATTGCAATGAAAAAAAACTCGCGTTCTCTTCACATGTTCATCTTGTTTCATTGAGCAAAGCGTCAGCTATAAAGAAAGATCATGTTTACATCAAGAAACAACTATGCCGGATGCTGATGATAGCTATATTCGGAAAAACAACTTTATCGTAAATTTGGTCATGATTGAATCAAAAACGAACGGTTAAGAATACTAATACACGAAATAACACTAGAAAAACTCCGATTAGTCGCCTACGACGAGGCAGTGTACTGCGCTGTGCGTGTAGTAGCTCCGACGGTGCGCCTGCAAAGTGGGCGGAGTGACCACCTCTGGTTACGTCCCTTCCGCAGCGGATTTCTCGCTTCGGAGGGAGTATTTTGCGGCGCTACTTGGGGGTTTGCCTAATGTGGGGGCCCACACTAGTATGCACCGAAATCTCATCAACCCTCACTTTGGGTGGACGGTGCCTTTAAAAGCAGCGTCCGAGCAGATTTGGATACTACACTATAGGATGTGTCATAACCGAGTATTAGGACCTCGATCTAAAACTATCGCACAAGTCCGACTTTTGTATTCCTCCTGTAAAAGGAGAAAATTGGCGCAGAAGGCGCCAAGCCTCGAGGACCACGCCCACTGCCGCACGCCCCGCCCCCTTAAACGAACTCTCCTCCTCAGATAATCGCCGGGGGCAGGCGGTCCGCAAACTCGCGCTTTTCTGCAGGCGGTCAGCAGAATTTTGGGGCGTGGCCAAACCTTCAGCGGGCGGTACTTCCGCATTCTGCCAGCGGGCAGCAATACAGAATTTTCTGCGAGCGCTCGTCAAATAATATCTTCCAGCGGGCGCTGGCCAAACTTTCAGCAAGCGCTCGGTCTCTTTTTAGGTATTTTCGGGCGTACGTCGAGCACAGGTAAGACTCTGTGTGGTAGAGGTGTCACCGTTGGTTTAATTACTCAAGTTTGAGGTACTTTGTCTCAGCGGAAAGTACCTGGGGGTTGCGCGGTCCTCCACAAAGGACCGTGCGGCCCTCAAAAATTTTGCATATTCTCGCGGAAAGTCCGCGAGAATGCGGCCACTGCGCCGCAGCTAATCCATAAAGAAACCGTGATTGTTCTTCAAGCATTCGTCTTTAATTTTGCCAACTTTCTTCCAAATTTCTGCAAGCGGGCCGCAAAAAATCAACGAACTATTTTTCCGGTGCGCGCTTGCTCAAAATTCGCATGGCCGCCTGCCCCCGGCGATTATCTGAGTCACCCCTTGACGTGTTTTCACGTGGCAAACACAATGGAACACATAGCGTTTACCTATTAGTGATTGCTTTCGACAAGGATTGCTTCAGAAGCATTCGTCCGCTTCCTACAAAATTCTCTCAAAAATGGGATTTTTTGAAAATTTCACGCATTTTGAGTATCATCTTTTGAATCAGCGCCATGAAAAGGCCTGCATAAAGCAAATCAACAGAAGTTGGATTCTGCCTGAACGCTGCCTTTATAGAGGACGTAGTAGATTCAAAGAGGAGACTAAGCGGAAAAGAGCTCAATTGTTGTAGACAAGATAGTGTTTAACTATGTGTGGTATAAAGAATTTTCTATGTTCAAAGAATAGGTGATCCTGTGAAAAGACCTTTGGATTTCAAAGTTATGATTAGCAATCCGTTCGAAGACTTAGGGTTTCTTCAATAAACGTTAGGGTTGGGGTTTCTGCAATAATCACCAGAAATGAAGTTGTATCGAACGATAAAGTCCTATGTAATTGGGATTGAAAAGGATTAGCTTTCATTGGGACCTGCAAGCGTCCCAATGAAAGCTGGCGTGGCGCAAAGTGACTATGACTAATCTGTCTTATCCAGAAGGTAGTTTATATCTTTTTTTAACATTACAAAACCAAAAGACATCAGTGATTGCGTTGCTTATCAAACCCTCCTTAGGATGACTAAAGACTTGAATTATTAACGAAACAGTATAGATGTTCAAGATGTCAGAACACTAGGAGGATACATGAGTAATCCGTGTGTCTGTTTTCCCACATTTTGAGGTAAAAACCAGCCGATAGCTACTTCCTAAGTGCCCCCTATAGTTCATGGAAAAGCTCCATTTTCGACTTATAATATTATGAAGAGTAGAGTTTTGAACCGAGTAAAAGAAAAGAATGCGGAGGGACAAAACTTGAATTCAACAGGATCATACGATACAGAATATGATATGTGTCAACAAGATTGAGCAATACTAGTTAACAGTTATATGTGCTGCTTATATTAGAACCATTTATAGCTTGGCAAAAACCTATGGGATTTACGAGTAGAAAATATGTACCATCGTTTTTCACTAGTTACAGCAATCAGGGCTGGAGAACAGACACTTGCTGGGATACGAGATCTACACATCGTATGTTCAAAGTTTAATGACGAACTTTTGCAAAAACCTGCTGATTTGACACCCTAGTGCGGCTATATCCATCGTGACATCAAACCGACAAACTTCGCAGTAGGTCGAGAAGAGGACGGAGATCAGCACACAATCTACATACTAGATTTTGGTTTAAGCCGACAATATAGGTAGGCCATTCTGGATTTTTATAACACTAACTTTGTATTTTCTAACTTTTGATTCCATTTATTATGCATTATTTATTTTTACCCAAAACGCTCTTTGCGTTCCTTGAAAAGGATCGACACGGTTACTCATACTCTAACCGCAACGAGAATCCATTATGTAGTTTGGATCCAAACTTTCGGAATAGATCAGTAAAAGTGTTATGAAAGCTTGTATGTGATCGCCCTATGACTAAATCAGCAGAATTGAATTAATGTGATTTATGGAAATGGTACCCATGCGCGCTTTTTTTGCAAAAACGATTTTTATTCCAACACAATCGGTTTCTTATTGGATAAATGCCTAATCTTACCACTCAATATGCCAGGGAGAGTGTGATCCCAAATGAATAGCAATAAAAGTTGTAGTGAATTTGCAACTCATATGTGAATGGGAAGATTAAAATAGGCTAATGTAACCTATGGAGTGGTAATCATAGCAACTCGATTGCCAGCAGAAAATACTTTTGTATTGATGAAAAGCAAAGCGAGGCTCGGTTGGTGGAATAGCAAGGAATCTTACCCAAATAATTCCGGGGAGTGTCCAATGACTCCGTGTGAATGTCAATAAATTTTTTTGTAACTTAACAGAAGCAAGTCAACGAGCTGTACTGAATGAAAAAAGAGGCAAATTGATTGGTCTTGAACTAACATGATGACAACGGTTTAGTAGACATGCGAAAAGAAGATAGTATTGAAAAAAAATGTAAATCAATGGTCACATTCGACTTTCAGTTTGTAGTAGGATCGGGTTTTCGCGCATGGTCAGCTGATTATAGCGATACAAGTGTCGGGTAGTGTTATCTGAAAATTTCATTCACAGGGTCTTCAGTTATTTTTAAAAAAAGACAGCGCACGCTAGGACTTCGTAGGTAATTAACAGATTTACTATACGGTCGAAAGAATAGTGGTTCGATAATGTTGTTGTTTTCGCCTACCGTTTCGTTGATGATAAATAAAACAACTAATTATTTCACAAATAGGTTTACAGACCCAGTACATGAAAGGCCTTTATATACTCTCCCTTACGAAGATCCTAAAAGCAAGTACCAGGTCGTGTACAACTTTACGATGAAAGGCACTTTTGAGACCAAGTTTTTCCAAGCGTCCTTCCTAATTAGAAAGTCATTGGGGATAAGTTGGACTAAGAAAGCAACGGTAGAAAAGTAGTCCTGTAAAAACTTCCTAAACATTTTCCGAGGACTGTTCCTGCTTTATTAGAGAGGGGTTCCACACCTAATTCGCATATTCTAGAAGGAGAATAACAAAAGTTTAGGAATATTTTAGGATCACTGACTTTGGCGCTACGATGAGGTAGATAATCGAAGTTGCACGGGAAGTATTAGGTTGTCCGCAAATTAATGTCCGTTTTGAATTTCAACCGCAATAAGTCATCACCTCTCATTTCTAGATAGTACGCAAAGTACCATTCGATAGAGCAAGGCAAGCTCTACAAGGTGGCTATCTTGCTTTAGCGACAGCTCTGATCCATCTCGAGTTTCAAGCCAAAAACTAAAAAGATTCAACTGCCCGAAAAATCGAGAAAAATTGTAACTTTGTTCATAAAAGTCCTACAAAAATTCTAACTTGCCCATGTAAACACTATCCACATAAAACATTCATACACGCCTTTGCCGTATTTTTCCCTCCGTTAGAAAACAAGAAAACGGAAACCTTCGTGCATTTGCCAAAGTGATGCGTGCTCTCTTTACATAGGTAGTTGTATACTGCAAACCTGTAGAAGTACAAATGTAATTTTCAGCTCTCTATAAGCTATAATTCTCGAGAAATCTGAATTTCAGTTTGGACCCCCTGATTTGGGAAAGCTGTATTCGGTATTTCTCAAGAACAGCTTGCACAGAGCTGAAAATTTACATTTGTACTTCTAAAGGTTTGTAGTATACAGCTAACTATGTGGGGACACCACAGTATACCACACCAGAGTAACTTTGTTCATAAAAAATCCTATAAAAACCCCAATTTGCCCACGTAATAACTGTCTACATAAGATATCTATATACGCCTTGCCGTATTTTTTCCTCCGCTAAAAATCAAGAACATTTGCCAAAGTGATACTGTGGTGTCCCCACATAGTTAGTTGTATACTACAAACCTTTAGAAGTACAAATGTAAATTTTCAGCTCTGTGCAAGCTGTTCTTGAGAAATATCGAATACAGCTTTCCCAAATCAGGGGGTCCAAACTGAAATTCAGATTTCTCGAGAATTATAGCTTATAGAGAGCTGAAAATTACATTTGTACTTCTACAGGTTTGCAGTATACAACTACCTATGTAAAGAGAGCACGCATCACTTTGGCAAATGCACGAAGGTTTCCGTTTTCTTGTTTTCTAACGGAGGGAAAAATACGGCAAAGGCGTGTATGAATGTTTTATGTGGATAGTGTTTACATGGGCAAGTTAGAATTTTTGTAGGACTTTTATGAACAAAGTTACAATTTTTCTTGATTTTTCGGGCAGTTGAATCTTTTTAGTTTTTGGATTGAAACTCGAAATGGATCAGAGCTGTCGCGAAAGCAAGATTGCCGTTTTGTAGAGCATGCTTTGCTCTATCGAATGGTACCTTGGAGTGTATGACTTATTGCGTTTGAAATTCAAGGACATTAATTTCCGGACAACCTAATAATTGATCTGTAAGCAGGCTTCAAAGATGAGAAAATTACTGAATGAAGAAAATTTTTTGAATTTAGATCATCTTTTGCTGATAATGTTACAGGGTATTCCAAAAACCTTCAAGCTTGCATTTTCTTTCCTAAAGCTTCCGAAGCAACATCAGGAGAAACCAGTGCTTCACCTCTGCTTCGCAGAGGTTCGCACTGGCATCGTGAACCGTGGTAAACACACTTTCTGAGAGCTTGTCTCTTAAATCATTGTTCGATTTATTCGTGAGCCGTAGTTAAAAATGAACCATACTCGCTATCTTAACCTCACATGATGTTTAGTATCGTAAATCATTCCTCACTGTAATTTCGTAACGGACAAACTCCACACAACTTCAGATTAAGCCGCTTATTATAAGTCATGATCTGGTATACGGCTTACTCATACAGGTCAAAACAATATTGCAAAATCATTGTTCGATTTGTCCTCCAATGGTCTTCAAAAGGCCTGCTCATCTGGCGGTACGCTCAGATATTTACGAGTTCCAAAACGGTAAAAATGTTGCCATCAGCTACTTAGGACAAAACAGCAAACACTGTGCAGACGGCGCAAATTCCGACATTTTTAGTGATAAATGCAGGCATATAGCTAAAATCAGCTACTCAAAGTGATTTGATATGAAAGTTTCACACTTTTCCAGGGTTTTATTTCCAAAAACTTCTTCTCGTCAGTAACAGGATAGTAATATGGGCGCATCTTGATCTTGAAGTAATGAACATCACTCAGTGTGGTTTTACCTTTGTAAATCTAGAGTAAAGCTAGCTCTACAATATGAAACTTGAAAATAGTGAATGCTATTAGGGATAAAGGTTATTTGTTCAAAAAGTGAGTACAATGCAATTGTCTCAACCCTTGCTTCGTAATATTGTTTTCTTCGAGAAACTATACTGAGAGTGCGTGAAACAAACAGAATTTGAGGTAGTGTTGACAATCGTATCTCAAACTCATGTGCAGGCTTTGACCCAAGCTGACGATACTGACGATTTACTGTGTTGCAAAGTTAGGCTTGAAGCTTTTGGGATATCCTGAACGAAGAAATAGTGTATTAAGTGGAAAAATCGAGTGGTAGACTTCGTATAAAGTTCCTGCTGCCAAGCCACCGACAGCCTTTTGCGCGGAACACGGGTTCCACCTTCCATACTGTACATGTCGGATCCATAACATTTGATTCAACTGGCTTGGCACCATTAGGGCGGGAATTTTGTGATCTAATTGAGGCCGCTCGCGCTCGCGACGCACCTGCGCCTCTCTCGCGCGAGTGCTCTCTGATTATGACCTAGCCTTAGTTAGGTCACGAAGCCCCGCCTTTGCCGATGCCAAGCCAGTTGAATAATGGTACTTATAGGCGAAATTTCGATGCTGTATAATAACAGGGTCCTAAATGAGTATTCGCCCAAAAGTTGAATTCTGCAGCAAAAAATTGCAAGATATAAGTGACCAAGGTAGCTCCGACCGTCATCGGGTAGTGTTTGGGGTCCAAAACTGAAGATGTCAGATTCCTATCACAGTGAAGTCACTATTTTCAGATTACTCATGCAAAGCGATGCCACCTTGACCTCCTCTACATTCTGTATGATTTTCGCCTCGGAATGTAACTTTAGCACTTGGGCGATAACTTGTTCAGCAGCCCTGCACTATATATTAGTTTGGTGCAAAAATAATGGCCGACTTTCCAAGCCTTTTTTCAGGGCAACTCTTCTCCGTCAGAATATCATGTGAAATATATGTAGCATACCACTTGTTCTCATGCTCTATCTAATGGTGGTTGAAGCGGGCTTCCACTCTCATCTGTTATAAAGTTACTAAGCTTTAAATAATCGCATTCAAATTCAGAGTTTTATTGAATTCACTTTTCTAGCCAGCATTCGAGCGCGTAAAAATGGTGCTACTTCGAAAATTTAGCTATTGTATGTAATAGAAGTTGTCTACATTGTGCAACTTGACTGTATTTCCTGAAGTTATCCAAACTGAGATATCGGCGCCTCAACATCGGAATTCGTTGCTGTTATTTTATAACCCATAAAATTCTTTTGAAAAGTCAATCGCAGAAGCTCCGCTCAAGCCTGTAAGCGTGATGTTGTGCATCCTGCTAGCAGTTTTTGCAAAAACATCCAGCTGTTTGGTAAGCAGAAAATCGGAAAATCTGTATTCGGGGTCAGTAAATGATTGTTGTGCCGAAACCAGGTTTCTTGGTGGATGTTTATTCGACCGACGTTTCGACGGGCTCGTCTTTTTCAAGAGGTTTGAACGTAGATTATAGGTTTTTGGATCTGACCAGTACGCCG